CTTAAAAACCTGAACTTGGCACGTCTCTTTTACAGCACTGTAACTTCACAAAATAGTGTCTAAGTCATACATTGGGCAAATTGTTTTACTCAGAAGATGTAACTGAGCATAATTTGGGGATTTTTATGACAGTGGTACATCAAGTGTAAGAAATACTCAGTCAGCAAAAATGCAACATATATGTAAAATGCCATCCCCCCACCACAAACATTGACTTAAATTGGTGAAAAGTTAAGGCACAATATACACCATATAAGATACCCTGGGGTCAGGGCCATCATTAACGCCGGGCAAACGGGGCAGCTGCCCCGGGCCCAGTTACTCCTGGGGGCCCCAGAGCAGCTGCCCCATGGGCCCCGCGATTTGTGCAGCCCCCATGGACCAGGCGGTGCGGCTGCACAGAGCCACACCAGCCCACTGTAGCGGTACTTACCCTCTCCAGGGGCCGGACGAGGTCCTCTTTCCCTGCCGCGCACAATCCTGCAACTGCACGAGCCGCACGCGACTCGTCCGACGGGGAGGCGTGCACTGACCCCACTTTTTTGGGGGTGTGGATGTGACAAGGGCCCATCAAATTAAACAGATATATATTTATACTCACCTTTCCCTTAGCTCCCTGCCCTATCGTCGTTTCTGATTCAGTTCCCTTTAGTGCTTGCTTCGTGTAGTAGTGGTTTTTTTGTGCTTGACCTTGGCTTTGTATCTAACTTCGTTTTTCTCTTTATCCCTGATTTGACTTGTTCACCGGTTTCTTGACTCTTGTGTACCAGTCCTTGGCTAGTTCTTGTTTATGCTGTCTCTCTGTTCCCTTGACCTCAGCTCGTTCTTGACTCTGTCTTTTCCTGTTCACGTCGAGTCTGGCCATTCTAAGGCCCAGTAAGACGTATCTGGTTATCTTGTCTCTCGTTAGACTATTCTTGGGTGTTGGGGTATACTACCGTGACACCTGCACACTAAGGAGGCCCCCCAGGTGGCCCATGCACTTAGGGCCACCCAGTGGGCATGTGTCAGCAGGGGCCCGGTGGGGCGCTGTGATGCTTATACAGCGCGACCGGGCCCCTTCCTGTTCGGCAACCGGCTGGGAGGCAGTGAGTGCCGCGCGTCACTTCCTCCCACCGGAGATCAGAGTTGCGCGGGAGGAGGGGAGTTCCAAAGGATAACTCCCAACTGCCTCAGCCTGCCACTGGACCACAGGGAAACCACCCTCCAGAAAAAGGTAAGAACCTGGAGTGTGGATAAATGTATGTCAGTATGCCTGTGTGTATGTGTATATCAGTATGTATGTCAGTATGCCAGTGTGTGTGTGTGTGTCCGTACGTCTGTCAGTGTATCTGTCTGTGTGTGTTTCAGTATTTCTGTCAGTGTCTGTGTGTGTGTCAGTATATCTGTCAGTGTATGTGTCTGTGTCAATATGTCTGCCAGTATATATGTGTGTCAGTATGTATCTGCAAATGTTTTAATATGTCTGTCTGTGTGTGATTGGGAGTTGGGCGTAATTGGGGGGGGGCAGGGCCCAAGAAAATGATTCACCCAGGGTCTTATGCATATTATATAGGCCCTGCCTGGGGTGTATGCTTTATCAAATTAAAGCCCTTTGTGGGGTTATTTGAACAGTCACAATGCTATAATACCCTAAAATGAGACATATGCCCGTCAAATCCATCTACGAAAAATTCTAACTATAGAAACTGAAATAGCCTTGTCTCTTAAATGGCATTGTAGCTTTACAGAAAAGTGCCAAAGGTATACAATGGGAGTAACGGTATACTCCGCAGATGTAGCTGAACACAATATGGTGTTCTGTGCAGGAAAAGCACACACCAGCTTTATGAAATACACATCTTGTTATATGTATATATATATGCCAAAATAGAGAAAAAACACAATTACTCCAATATTTAGCAGATATTGGCGATGAAATGGCTACGTAAGTAGTGTCAAACTAAGCTTAGGTAAATAGCCTGTGATGTCTACTTTATATAAATATATACTGTTGTGTGGAAATTTTGTTTTCTGTGATGGCTACTAAACCTACAGGACAAACATACAAACTTCTAAAATTGTTGTAATATGAAATGTTATTTTAGTCCTTGTATTTTGGGACCTGTAACTTTCAAAATAAGCTGAAATCCTATACATATGATGTACTCTATAAATAAAGACACATAAATGAATTTATATTGAATTACTTTTTCTAAGCTGGACATATTATGCACACGCTATTAGAAGTGTTTTTTTTTTCCCAATTTCTTTTTAATTAATGAGAATTAATGAGAATGTATGTATATGTGACATCAAATTAAAGCTTTGTTTTCCCTCTAAAAAACTATATATATATATATATTTTTTTTTTTTTTTTTAATTCTTTATTTTTCCATTGACCGTCATAATACAGTGACAACTTGGTTTGTGGCTTGTGCAAAAGCCAAGTAGCATAATGATAATACTCTTTCACTGTCAGAATTTTACCATACAAGGTATAACCAAAACATGTAATGAGGAATAAAAGGATTATATACAAAAAAGAAGTACAAGGGTGTGTACATGTGAGGGATGTCCTGGTGTGTAGATTCAGTTTCTGCCTATTTTTGGGTACCGGTGGTGTTAGTGGTGATCAGGCTTCTATTTCCCTGTTAATATGTATTTGCGGTTGTTGGTATGTCAGGTGCCGGAGCCTTTGAGTTGTTTGACCCTGGAGGTGTGAGCCAAGTCTCCGCCCTCCCCTCTTCCCCCTGTTTCGGAGAGTTTGTCACTCGTCAAATTGTTCCCACAGTGTCCATACCTTTTGAAAGGTAGGTGTGGTGTGTGAGCTGTCATTCTGTCCATTAAATAGTTATCTCTAATTTTGGACAAGACCTGAGTAAGTGGTGGCGTCTCAGGCTTTATCCATTGTTGGGCTAGCGCTCTCTGTGCCGCTAGGTTTCGCATATTGAGTAGTCTCTGCTCGTGTCTATCTAGTCCGTGAATGGGTCGTGACAGTAGGCATGCCCAAGGGTCGAGTGTTAGTCTCTTTTGTAGAATTCGTGAATTCAAGTCTGAAGGGAGGTGCTTCAGTATTGACTGTGGCGCAGTGCCACCACGTGTATATATGTGCCTTTTTCTCCACACAGGCACCAACAGGTGTCTGTGGTGCTGATCTTCATGTGGCTTTGTTTGACTGGAGTTGTGTACCACCAGAGTAGCATTTTGTAAGCCTGTTCCTGTAGTGACGTGCATATGGATGTTTTCGCACAGGCCTCCCATATGTCTTGCCAATGAGTCTTCTACTGTTTCTCCCAGATCCGTCTCCCACCAGTCTGTGTAATGCAGTGTTCCCCATTCTCCGGATTCAGAGCTAATATGGCTGTATAGGAGTAAGATCAGTTTTGCTGGCATGATTTCTTTTAGACAGATGCGCTCGAAAAAAAGTTAGTTGTTTGGCTATAGCTGTCCTAACTTCTGTGGTTTGTGCGAAGTCTCTAATTTGTACGTAGCGGGATAAGTCTCTGGTTTTTAGGAGCGCGAGGGACTTCAAGTGGTCATATGTTACGAACAGATTGTCAACGTATAAGTGGATATAGTGTTGCAAGCCCGTGGCCTCTAGTCCTCTGAAGTCTTTGGCTCTTAGTCCCGGTGGGAACGCTATGTTCCGTAGCACTGGTGCCATTGGGGAGGGGTTGTAAAAAACTATATATAATACGTGTTGGTGCAATAAATGATAGAGATGCAAATTGCGTTTGAACACAAACAGCAAAAAATGCAAAAATGGCTTGTGTTCTTAAGTTTAAGATAAGCTTCTGAAGCTGTGTCCTTAAAGGATTAAAATTAGAAGTTTTCTTTTGTTTTTATAACTTGTCTCACCTGAATTAAAGGGTTTATTAAACTTTTTTTTTTTTTTTTTTTTAAAGGAAACTTGACCCATATGAATTTTGCAAGCTGTACAAACTAATCCATGAAAATTTGTTAAAAATCGACTCATTCCAGAAATGTAGAAACACTGTTGTTAGTATACACTTGTGAATGCATTGTATAAACTCCAGATATATAAAAAGGAGAACATTTTCATTGCTGGTATCTTAACACATACTCACACTACCTACAGTTATATCTATCACCCTTTCTACTACAAGGATAAAATTATCATAATACATGTGCACACACATATATGTAAGGGTTGGCAAGCGGTTAGCTTGGTAACTAGTCACTAATATACATTACCAAGTTAGTCTATTTCTACACCACCCAAATACTTATTCAGTTAAGCGATAATCTTTATTCAACACATTGTTCTGACAGAATGGTAATTTGGCTCTTGACTCCATTTCCCCGTTAGTTAGAAGTGGCATAATTTAACCACCACATCCTTGCTGTACATATATGTTACTTTTGCTTTATTACATAATAGGTTGTATGACAAATCTTTAAAGCAACACTATAGGGTCATGAACAAAAACCATGTATTATTGACCCTATAGTGTTAAAACCACCATCTAGCTCCCTTTGCCCCCCAAAATATAGTAAAATTTTACTTTTATTCATGTCTGCAGCTGCTGGCTCCGCCCATGATCTGCCAGCTTATAGCTGACATCATTAGTAATTTTGTGAGCCAATCCCAATGCTTTCCCATAGGATTGGCTGATACTGTCAAAGAGGCAGATCAGGGACAGAGCCATCACAAGCTAAACACAGCCCTGGCCAATCAGCATCTCTTCATTGAAATGCATTGAATCAATGGATCTCTATGAGGAAAGTTCAATGTCTGCATGCAGAGGGTGGAAACACTGAATGGCAGTGCTGCAGAAGCACCTCTAGTAGCCATCTAAGGATTTGCCATTGGAGTTTTCACTAGGCTGTAATGTAAACACTGCATTTTCTCTGAAAAGACAGGGTTCACTGCAAAATGCTTGAAGGGAATGATTATACTCACCAGAACAAATACAACTAGCTGGGGTTGATCTAGTGATTATAGGGTCACTTTAAAATATTTCAATAATTTCAAGTGAAGGAAACACAGCCACAACTTATCTACAATCATTCGTTTATTAGATAAGGAAGAAATTTCACTAGTATTTACATAGTGCAAAAAGCTGTTATTACTCAAAAATGAACAGTAAAAATAGAATTATCCTTCATACACAAAAACAACCCTTCATGTAGGTGTAGGAATTAAATATTTGTGTTCCTCTATATGAATTAGACAATTTCAATATTAAATTATTACAATAGTAAGAAACAAGAACGTTTATACAGATCGAAATAATTAAAATGGAAGTTCTTAAGTACTCAGATTAAAGTATTTTTAAAATGATAGTTTCAAATACAATGAAAAGCAAGGAGCAATGTAAAATACAGAGAACTATGTCACGTTAAATGGAGCGCTCTTCTGAGTATGCATTGCTTTTAAAATGTTTTAAAGACATGTGAGTAGAAATGCATGGCATGATAAATTGGCACTAGTAGATTAAAACACTTTGAAGGGTAATTGTTTATTAACAGCAGACAATACTATTACGCCTTAGGGTAAACACATCACACGCACAGATGTTGAACCTGCTTTCTTCCACCTAGTGGATGGCAATTCTGTTTGCTATCATCCAGAAAAACACTGAGGGTGATGTCGACGAGAGTTGTAGACAGTGACGGGAGAGTTAGTCAAGCTCAGGTGGAAAGACACCACATCCCCAAGTTTGATGTAAACAAAATCACTCTTAAAATTATGGTAGCATAATCATTATCGGGTGTATACCATAAGTCATTAAAACCTCTTATCATGAATTGTACTTTGATACATTTTGCCTTTATTATTACTACATAAAACTTTGCAAACTTGTATGTAGACATTTAAAATGTCTTCATAGTATATATTCCATAACATACTAGGTTATCATAGTATGTATTCCATCTTCCAGCCTCTCTTGATGTCATCACTGGTTTTCAGGGAGTAAAGGTCAACATCCCTCCTCTAAATAGATCAAACAGCTGTCTGCAGAATACTAAGGAAACACAACATATACTACTGTAGAGGAAATACACCTCCCCCCACCATCATTGGAAAGCGGGTATTAACATGTTCCAAAAAACAATTTGTTTTAAACTAATTAGCTATAGTCATTGCAACTTGCAAAGTAGTATATAGCATATCAAATGTTTACTCTTCCATTTGAGACCAATGACATCCAAGGGCATCTGGTCATTACTGGTCCTTAAGGGTCCAATGTCAGCATGGAATGTGCATCTTTCTTCTTATTGATAGTTCTAAAAGAGCTCTGTGTCAACAATGGAACAAATAGGATTTACCAAATTGGAATTTAAGGCCTGGACCAGTGGTTCCCAAACCAATTCTCATGGCTCACCAACAATCCAGGATTTATGCATTTCCATGTATTATTCCAATGGAGCTACTGACAAAACCTGGTCTGTTGGTGGTTATGGAGGACTGTTTTGGGAAACACCAGCCTGGCCTGTTGACAGTAATTTGTCCTCAAGATGGTAGGAAAAAAAAAAAGGTTTTAAATTTAAGTCTTGTCACTTCAGTTAGCAAATCAATTTGATGCTCACAAATAAATTTCATAACGAACGGTTCTATTACTTCATTTTCTTATATAGAATTTAGGTGAACAAACCTAAGAAAGTGTCAGATTATTATATTAAAATCATGTGTGCCACATGACTATATGTTCGATAAAAATTCTGTTAACATCGTTTTACATCTACACCTTCCCATAAACAATTTAGGTATCAGCAGCTCACAACCAATGCCAGCAGTGTGGGCAACCCATTACAAAGAATTTATTTCAAATCCATTCGGAGGACTAAAATGGCAATTCAAATAGCATTACATACCACGTCAATTTACATTTTATTCATTCTTGACAGGTTAGTCATTAGCACTTAATGACTGCAACTCACTTTATATGGACATAGAAAATCCATATTAAACATTTTTTTTCCTTTCAAATTTAATTTTCAGACATTCATGAACAGCCTCGTATATTCAATACACATGCGATGCAGATGTACATCACTTTACAGAACAGATTGCCTAATAAGGTATGATGAATTGTGAAGTGGGCATACCAGAAATAAAGCTATGGGGAACATCAGAAAATACATTTATATACATAAAGGAGATATATATATATATATATATATATATATATATATATATATATATATATATATATATATATATATATATATAAAAAAAAAAGAATCTCTAAATTATTTACAGAATAGTGGGCTGTTTTTTGGGGCATCTGTTATGTCACAAAGACAATATGTCATATACAAACTGCTACGGAGATTTTCTGCAGCATAGTGATTGATGGGCAGCTGGCTTAAAATACTATTCAGTCTGCAAGAAAAGGAGCTAAAATTACATTTGTTACAAGACAACTAATTTTCCAGGTTATTGCATGGACTCTACAGGGCCTTAATATGCTATAATTAAATCAATGAAGTTGCTGCTTGGGACATATACACTTCTAAGACAGCCTTTTTTTTTCTTATATCTTGTTCGAACTTGTGCAAATCGCCACAGGCATTTGTTATTTTGTGGAATTTCTTCATTTCATAAGCACAGCCAATAACTTACACTGTAAGCAGCCTTTAAATTGAGAGATGTTACAAGAAGTTAAAAAAGTACTGTATAAATCACAGTATATATACACACACACATCTAAAAATACTAAATCGCCAGTGTCTTTGAGATCAAGAATTATTTGAACCTTGATAAAGACAATGTGTGAGTCAGACAACATTATGAATAGCTGTGTATAATCTTTGACATTGAAGCGGTGTAGGTGATTATGGGAAACATACCTCAGTGTCATAGATTAGAGCCATTATAGATTAGCCAGTTCAAAATTCTGTCATTTCTGTGCAAACGACCACCTTTGAAGTACACAGGCTAAGATCTGTCTATTATCTATCAATTCTCACCCTTTGTAAAATTCAGAATAAGTAATTAGAAAAAAAAAGTAAAGTAATTACAAAGATACAAAAAAAAAAAAAAAATGAAAAATCTATACATTAAACAAGTCATCAGTTAAATAACTACTTCAAATCCTCTGAACACTTACTTTCAACCCAAGAATTCTTATAATTAGAGGACATCATAACATTACAGTTTTTCAGATCATTATGTACTGTAAATACTAATAGAAATATACATGAAAATGAAAAACTAGAATATAAAAAGGATCTTTAAGGAGACCATCACAGGATGTATTAATTACCTCTGTAAGCAACACTAGATTCATATCTACAAAAAAAAAAAAATATGTGTATTAGACCATGGTTCTCCAAGTGCTGGCCTGTCATTCTCCCGATCCAAATTAGTTAATAAAAGGGTTTTTTCAGACTTCATACACAAATACCAGTCTACAGACAAGGATCATCTGGTACGATGTGCCTTATTTTCATGCACAATTAGTGTCAATCTGTTACAAGAGATTCTAAAACTTGTAACTCCCGGTATAAAACAAAACGTATTTTAGGCAAATAATTACCTGACAAGAGGTGTAGTTTAATGTTTCATCAAAATGTCAAACAGTATTCCTAAAACTGCAAGAAATATTCTCCTACGCTGGTGATTGCAGCTAATTCACTGGTCAAACAGTCAGACTAATGTTGTTTCCATTGTGTGTCAACACACAGAGACACACTCATATTTATATATATATATTATACATAATGCATAATGTGCCAATTATTTCAACAGGCTGATCATGCTTTCAAATCCTGTCTGATGGTTATGTCATTTGTTCAATTATTTCCCGAAACACACATTTTAACAACTACTGTGTAGTATGGTATCCCCTAATCACAAGTCGCACTAGTTCATGAGTGACCTTCCACTTTAGCCTCTGTTGAAATACATGTGCCATCAGTTTCAATCAAAAGCCTCTTAGATTCATGCATTTTTAAAAATCAAAATAACGGAAGAAATATTTTGTACACAAATTAATTGGCAAAGGAATGCCCACAGTCATATAACTATCTATTGTAGTTTGCTTAACTTGGTTTCAGTCACTTGTGAGTACTGCTACCATCTAAGAGCAAGAAACCAACAGACATATTTAAAAAAATATTAAAATGTAAAAAAAAAAAAGGATAGAAACCACTGTGTAAATTCAAGTTTCATACCCATAAAAAATTAAATAAATGAAAAAAGTAATGGGGCTATGATGGGCAACAAACATCCTTAGCACTATCCACGGTTTGCAATTAACATAACGTGAACTGACATATGAACAGAACAGCACAAATGAAATTAATTTTGAAATGTTTATATTGATGTCTATCTTGGTTTCTATTCCTAGAATTACACATGAACGCTAAAAAGATAATGACTTTTCATTTGTGAAGCACAAACATGAATTGTCATAACTATACAAACACAAAATATCAAAAGGGACACGACTGAAACGAAAGCTACTAAGGAAAAATAAGGATGAGTAGGTGATGTGAATCAGGAAATTATAACAAATGCCATAAAGAAACACTCCAAGTACCAGAACCATTACAGCCTGCAGTAGTGTTTATGATGCCAGCAGTTCCCTAGCACATCCCAATGTAAGCTGCCAAACCTTCTTAGTACAGTCTGACACTTATCTGAGCACAGCATAGACACCTGTGTGGCTTCTGGTCCATTAGAGAAGAAAAAGCCACATCGCGTTCATTCAGTGGCTGAGGCGGTCAGCTAAGCATTCCCAGCCAATGTATGAGTTCCTGTCTTAAACAATCTGAGAGTCGGCTTCTTCAGCTCAAGAAGATTGGGAGCAGCGTGGGGTACTACAGGATCCAGATACGTGTCAAACTGTACTAAAATCATTTAGACAGATTGTGCCAGGACCACCAGCAAACATCTGCCACCATAACCATTATAGCAGGCTGTAGCGGTTGTTTTGCTTGGAAAGTTCCCTTAAAGACTTAGAATGAACAAGTGTAAGCACATCCATTTTAAGACGGAGTATGAAAGAAAAATCCATTAACAAATAGAAACCATGTAACTGTATGAAACATATGTCATTGTTAGCTGGTTACCCTTCCAGCAGGGAAACATTTGATTACTAGATGTTATATTTAGATGAACACCAAAAAAGCTAGAACATTCATAGAAATATCTCTTAGTGCTTGACTAAAGAATAATCAACACAAATTTAAGGAGAACAATTCACAACAAATATCCATTTGGAATTAAATATAGATTAAACAAATAAACAGTGCAAAACATTGAGATGAAACATATATGGGAATGGCTGCAACTCTCCCAATAGTTATGTTTTATGTCAGTGGACCAATTCCTGAGTTTTGTTTCTGTTCCATTTTAAATAAAACTGGTGTTCGTGCTCTCTTTTAATAAAGGTCCTCTATCACTCTGAGCATTAGTTCCATTTCTGGCATGTTTTTCAGCTGTCCGTTCCTTGCAGTCAACAGATTCTGCTTGTTCAGAAGCCTCCACTTCATCATCTTCGCTTGGTTCAAGATTATCTTCCTCTGGGCTGTTCAGTGAATTCACGAGCTGGAGGGTTTCCATAGTTCTTTGAGCTTCGGAGACCCAAGACTCTATTCTGCTCACTGAAATAGGCTCCTGGTGATACCCATCGTCCTCCTCATCATCTTCATCATCATCCTCATCCTCTAGCATTTCTGGAACCAGTGTGCTGGTTGTACTGGTCATAGAAGAATTAAGAACATCTCTACCACTTCCATCCCAAGATCCAGTTTCAGTACTTTGCTGAGATGCCCTTTCCAGATTGTCATCTGGTTTTACCTCTTCTTTGTCAACTGGAGTCAACTTTCCAGGGTTTGCTACTGAGGTAGTATTGCTTGCCAGTTTCAAGGATGGTTGTTTATAGGTGTTGGCTTTATCGTACGGAGCACCTGAAGTTTGTTCAGAAATCGACGTTTTGATGGAGCATTCTTCATTTTCTGAGGTTTCCACTCCATCTGAGGTTTCCACCATATTTCTCCAGTTGGTTTCTAAATAAAAAAATAAATAAAAAAAGACAGCATTTGAAGTTTTATAACTGGTAGCAAATTAAAGGTTTAATGTTTAAACAGAGATTTAAAGAACACTTAGTAGGCTATCTAAATGTGGTGGCATATGTGAAAAGCAAAACAAAAAGATTTTGTTCTGCAATGAGATAAGTGTACAACAATAATAAAGCTGTTACAAACGACTCCTTGAGTTTGTCAATATCAGCATTAAAGGGTTACTCCAACCTTCATAAATACTAAGAGCACTATGGCACTGTTCCCCACTAGTGTGAGTGCTGTTGGCAGAGAAGTCAAATGAGACTGATGTCTGCATTATTCTCAATAAATCAGATATTATGTCAGAGTGGCATGCTCCTTAAGAATTTCTGCACTATTTTTAAGCTCACGCAGTAATTGTAAGGGTATTGCCACTGTCTGAAATCACTTACCATAATCCTTCTCATTCACCTCTGAGATGGGCTCAGAGATCACACTGCAGAATGAAATAGCACTTGCTGCAGAAGGATTTCTAGAATGGCCCATATGGTGAGGCACCTTTTTAACATTCTTCATAGCTTCCTCGGCCTGCTCTTGCTCCATTGATGCCACCATATCTTTGTATGCTTTTCTAGCTTCCTCGGTCAACGACACCAAATTGTTAAATAGTGTCTAAAAAGAATTACAATAGAATTGCAAGTCAGTTTAAAATATTCAATACATGTAAATAATTGAAATAAAAAAAATTATTAAAAAAATCATAGATAAGCATTTGATTGGACCGCTCTCATCAGCTCAGCGCATATGCTGGTGTAAAAAGGAGGGAGGAGAGTACAAAAAAACAAAAACAAAAAGAACAGTAATATGAAGAAATGTAGGAGGGAGGAGGCAGCAGGAAGGGTTCAGACGAGAACGAGAGAGAAGATATAGGCTTCCCCTTGCATTAGCATAGTCTGCCTGCAAGACTAGAAGCTCATTACTTGTTGATCACCAACATAATTTTTTGCACAGATTTAACACGCAGCCTAGAACAGATTAACTAGCCCCTGGCACAAAAGTGCATGTTTCTATATATGCACAGCATTTCAACCAGAAAATCTGCACATGCAGATTTCTTACTCTATGACCACTTCTAAAAATAGAAGTGGTCATGGAGGTTGGAGTAAACCTTTAAGAGACTAGGAATTCTCAGCTAAATCTAGCCCTCCCATTGTTAGCAATGTGAGATCTATGTGCAACACTTTCTAAATGTGCTCTGTTCCTACTTATCAGATCAAGCACAATATACACTGATCAGTCACAACATTAAAATCACCTGCCTAATATCATGTGGGTTTGACCCGTGCTAGTAAAACAGCTCTGATGTGTCGATGTATGGACTCCACGAGACCTCAAACCATGTCCTGTGGTATCAGGCACATTAGCAGCAGATCGTTTAAGACCTGCAAATTGCGAGGTGGAGCCTTCATGCATCGTGTTAGTTATTCCAGTACATGTCACTGATGCTTAATCAAATTGAGATCTGGGGAATTTGAAGGCCATAACCTTAAACTTTTTCAAGTTTCTCAAACCATTTCTGAACAATTTTAGCAGTGTGGCAGGGTGCATTATCCTGCTGAAAGAGGCCACTACCATGAACACCACTAACATGAAGGGATGTCCGTGGTCTGCAACGGATTCTGGGTAGGTGGTATGTGTCAAAATAACATTCACATGAATGCCAGGACCCAAGGTTAACCAGAGCATAACACTACCTCTGTTGGTCTTATTCCCATATTGCATCCTGCTGCCATCCCCAAGTAAACAGCACACACCTGGCAATCCACCAGATCGAAAAGAAAACATGAATCATTAGACCGGGCAACCTTCTTCCATTGCTGAATGGTTCAGTTCTGACACTCACATCCCCATTGAAGGCCATTTTGGCAGTGGACAGGAGTCATCATGGGCACTCTGACCAGGCTGCAGCTAAGCAACCCCGCAAGAAGCAAACTGCGATGCACTGTGTGTTTGAACACCTTTATATAATGGTTAGCATTATGTTTTTCAGCAAATTGCTACTGTAGCATTTCTGTGTGATCAGACCAGAAAGCTAGACTTTGCTCCCCTCGTGCATCAATGAGCCTTGGGCACCCATGACCTGTTCACCAGTTGACCTTCCTTGCACCACTTTTGGAAGGTAGTAACCACTGCATACCAGGACACAAGACTTGTCTCCTGGTATGCTCTAACACAGTCGTCTAGCCATCTCTATTTGGCCTTTGTCAAAGTCACTCTAATCTTTTTATTTGCCAATTTTTCCTGAATCCAACAGATGTTGGATGTAATATTTCCCACCACTTGACAGGTACCATTGCAATGATATAATAAATGTTGTTTACTTAACCTGTAAGTGGTTTTAATGTTGAGGCTAATCCGTGCATATGCATCTGCCACACTGTTTCTAATTCACTCAATACCAGCACCCCCAAAGTTTCATTATTGGGCCCCTTGTGTTTTATTATAAATATATACATATTATGAATAATCTTCCATTGGTCTGTAAATATCAAAACTCCCCACAGCATACTTGAAAACAAGCTAAATTCTTCCTGCTAAAATAGTTTCTAAATAAATAGATCCCAGCACTAATAGTGTTAAACATTCAAGAATGATGTGAATGCAAACTAACAAAAGCCACAGCATTAAACACTACTGTTTTCACAAATATCAAACAAGTTAGAAAAGAATAAAGAGAGAATGTATATAAAGACAGATCGCCACAGTCACAGAAATATGTGAGAAGGCAATAACTGCTTTATAGAGAGCCTACCTCAGAGCTACAATGTTGGGGGTAACCCAAGAAAACATACAAAAGAAATAGCGGAGACCCTTGAGACAAGGGGATCCCTAAAGTAGCTGCTGAGCACAGAAATAAAGTAGTATAGTAGCCAAATGATAGAAAAGGGAGAGAGAAACAGAAGGGGAAAATGACTAATGAGTGGAGAAAAAGATATAATAAATAGAGGGGAATGAAGAACCCCTCGTGTATAAACTGTAAATATCCACTCATGTGACACAAAAGAACAGCAAAAAAGGGGGTCCCTAATAGGATAAAAATATAACCCTATATATGGTTACAAAAATCCAAAAAGAGGGGACACCCCAGCTGTACAATGTCACTAGAATTATAGTCTGTAAGTCCCCCAATAACAAGACAGGCAGGTCAAAGGAGCCAATACCTGGAAATATATCTAGGGAAAAAGAGAGCACCAGGGCAATCCCTATATGAACAAACCCTAAGTCCAGAGGAGCCCCTCTGGACCACAAAAAGTCCCTGCCTAAAAAAAGTAAAGAGAGGATCCCTTAAAATATCAAAAAGGGCTAAATATACTAACTCAATAAATCATACTAACTACCTAACTGCTACCTAGTGAATAAAAAAAACACATAATAAAATAAAGCGCTCGACGCGCGTTTCAGCGTGTAATCACGCCGTCATCAAGAGCTATTACTGTGCAATAGGCTATAGTAGCTATAGTGTTTGAGGGTTCCCTAAACTCTACAGGTAGGTGTAAATATCTGGATTTCTTTTCAACAGAAAACCACTCATTCCCAAAGGGATCTAAAACCCAAAAATAAAATAGCTAGCAACACCAGCAGTGGAGAACATTATATTGATGTAGATTAAAATATCAAACTCCCAAAAATCACTTAAACACAGGTGGATCAATCAAGGTTTTAGCCCGAGTATGACAGACACCCATGTCAATCAAAAAGCACTGTTAGTATAAACACTAAAGGGCTGATTCCGATATACTTTTTAAACGTGATGACAATAGCCTTTGTAAAAGAGTTGGCAAGCATTTCACAATGAGTTGGTGAGATCTATATAATATACTTTAGCTATTCACTGTAAAGCTCCAAAACTGCTCCATACCGGATGTTAAAAATGTGAGTTACATGTGTGCTTTGAGCTAACTGGCAAATTAGGAGCTTAGTAGAACATAGCACAATGTGAGAACTATTTTTCCATAGCCACACTGGACACTCATCCTTTCTTACCTCTGCACCTGAATAGCTGAATATACCCACAACACTAACAGGTACCAATTTATTCACACAGCGACCAAGTGCCTTTCTTCCAAGAGCAAATACAAAAGGGATCTCTTGTTCTCTGGCCATGGCTATTACATTATATAGTGCTTCATCGAGGCCACCTACAAAACAAAGAAAATATTAATAAAACATAAGTACATTAACTGGTCTGTTACTCAATATCAAAATGAAACGAAGCAATATAACCAACTGCCTGCAATATGAATAAATGCATAACCCTCCCACAAGCATAGATTTATCAATCATAATAATAGTAATACATATAGTGTGAATTCTATTTGGATTGCAATTTGAAGGTCAGAAAGGAAAAATTCTTCATTTCAGATTTCCCGTTCTGCTATTTTGGCTTAAATTGTAAAACTCAAATTCTTGACAATTAATATTAATCAAACTTGATAGTGATCATAGTGATTTATGGAACACTCCACTGTGGATTTACCTTCCATTTTAATGTATGAAAAGAATAATGCTTGAAAAAACAAAACTGCAAATCCATGGGTGTCCTAAATGAAAATTTGATAAATTCATAAAACAAACGAACATACATGGGCATTTGATAATGAACAAATGGTCATTTCTTAATTTGCTATGCATCTTCGAATGGAACATTCTGAAAAATGCTGTAGTGGGGTTTATGAAAAATGCATGTTTGTCAGTCTGCTGCTAGCTGTGATCACTTTTCTAGTGATCACACAAGAAACAAGTACAATACTATACATCTTAACTTACACAAAAATAAATGTGGCACCTGGAATGTTGCTTTAAATTTATAATGAACTATTAAGATAAACAGTAGATATTCTCTTTTAACCATACTCAATGCCCTAATTGAAGTGGAGTACAAGCAAATCAAAATCTGCTTCTCACACTGGAATAGATGGGTCAGAGTTTAGCAGTGTAAAACGGAGTCTACCCACCAAATCTCGTACAGACCAGCATATGCAACCAACTGGATATATACAGGAGAAAGGCAAGCAACATAAAACAGATTTCACGGTAAAATACAGATTGGGTGCACAGAGTATAACTGTAGGTTTAAGACCTGCTCTTCTGGTAACACACAATCTGCATTGGCAAGAAACAAGATCTTTAGTGACTCTGGGTAGGTCACAATGCAATCAATCTTAAGGTACTGGCCACATACAGTTAAATGGTCTGTGGAATATATATATATATATATATATATATATATAAAAAATGAATAAGCAAGGCACACCTCCTGAAATTCCTCTTGTAGTGAATCAAATGCCTAGGTGCAGTCCCGCGTCCAAATATACATAAATCAATAAGGGGAGCACACCAGGACTTCAATATAGTGCAACAAGTATTTACTGTATCCAAAAGATGGTACAAATTCTGTGCAAAGAAAATCAACGTTTCGACCCTGCTGGGGTCTTTATCAAGATCACCATCTTGATCTTGATAAAGACCCCAGCAGGGTCGAAACGTTGATTTTCTTTGCACAGAATTTGTACCATGTTTTGGATACAGTAAATACTTTTTGCACTATATTGAAGTCCTGGTGTGCTCCCCTTATTGATGTATGTATGTGTGTGTGTGTATATATATATATATATATATATATATATATATATATATATATATATATATTTATATATTTATTTTGACATAGCAGATAGATAGATATAAATACTCAAATACACATAACAGAAAGATTGGTCATCCTAAAACATATAAAGTTAATATCCAAACATGGGAACAAAGGCAAATGAATAAAATGCATAGAAATTGTAATCAGCAAAACAAGATGCCCCTGAAAAGCTTCATAAAAGTGTTAAAAAAAGGACAAAACCTATGCCACATCTTCGTGGCAAAATGTGAAATCTACCATCAGAATGTCTTCGTAAAGGAATGCGTAGTTAAGGAATTGCTTAACTCCTAACTGGGACTAACAGAATCACTGGATTCAAGCACCCGTTCCATTATATATGTTGATACTTCTTTTGTTATTGCTTTACAACTGATGGCTTTTGACATAAAAGCTCATAAAGTTTATACTTTATATGTAGCCATACAAGCAGCAGCTACAGTGACAAATGGCAGCTATCAGTGTGGTATGCTTTGGTGTGTTGGGAGCTGTTGAAAACCTTTTGAAACCTGTAAGAAAGAAAATAATACCTTTTGACTGAATTTTTTCACAATTTGGAGAAATAATAACACATTTTATCTTGTTTAACTTCATGTGTTTAGTAACTTCTCGTAAACCCATAACAAGTCTTCTCTTTGATTTTGCCTTCATGGGGTCTTTTTGGTAAACCCGCTCTTGGAAGCTGACAAGTTCTTGTAATAACACGGTAACACATTCATCAATTTCCTTGCTTAGTACTTGATTGCAATACCTAACAAATAAAAATACACAAAGAATTAATATCACAAATTAGTGATAATCGCACCACAAAAATAAAGATTTTTTTTTCAGATGTATGCCAATCTAACTACTGCAGTCACAATTTAAGAAGTTTACATCCTTATTCCACAGTACTGAGACAAAAGCTTATGTATTAAAGTGACAGACCTAATTTTGTAGTTTTTTTAACCATCTGTCTAGGCTCCTGTTAAGTGTTTTTTGTTTTCTTTTAATACTATTAAAAGCTCATATTTTAATGTATTTCCATCATCCCTGTCTCCTGCTGAGAATCATGTTTTTAGTGGGTGTTACACTTGCTGTAAAACACATCTTGTCTGCATACCCCTGTTTGGGAAGCACATACCTGCTTTCTATAACTGGTTAAATGCCCCCTGCACTTTATATGATGGCTTTGTGTAAATAAAACATATTTCTATTAGCTCTCCATTCTCAGAGTGCCTGTCCAACACTGCTGAAAAAAATATTTGGATGTTTCTCTCCTCGCTGCATGTGGTGCTGCTCTCATGCCTAGTTATTGCTCACAAGACCGCAATATTGGATTGTATCATGTCAGCAAACTATGTTTCTCAAATAAATATGATCTGGACCTTTTATTTTTTTATAGCCTATAAAATAATGTTACATACTGTTGATCCTGTCTTCAAAGAGCGTGTAAAATTCACAAGATAAAAGGATTAAGAGGTTCAAAACACTGACTACATGGTTTCCAATAAATACACTGATATACTAAAATACTACAAAATTTGGAACTCGTCTACAGCCATAACAAAATGTAAAAAGTGGTAATACTGTCTACATGAAGGCATTGTGTAAGAGCAATTAAATACAGTTACTAAATCCCATAATGCTAGGTTTCCATATTCGAAAATAAAATAAAATGGGCATGTACTGAACACTTACTCTCTAAACCTTTTGCTGTGAATTTTGGTAATAGCGGAGGATGCCATTGGGCTGCCGATGCCAGAACTGGCTGGTGAGCCCTGGGATACTGGTGTCATGCAATAAGGGGAGTTTTGACTTGCTGGTGAAAGCGAGGTATCACTTTGTGCACTTAGACCTGCTTCTAGTGGAAGGAAAAAAAAAAAAAAAGATTATTAACCTTTGAACTACCTAGCTTAATATTATTTTACGTTAGAGTTTTAAAGACAGATGTAATGGATCTCGCATTTTACAGGGAGGGGGGTGGGGACATGCAACATTACACTTGTCTTATTTAGACCTTACTTAACCATTTGTAAATGTGGATGAAGTAAAACAAAAGTAATTATGTACCTTCTTGAGAGACTTGCTCTTCAGATTGGTCATCTGCAAAATTTAATGGACCATCCTTTTGTTCATCAGACCCCAGAATACTTTGCTCCACGGATAAACGCCCTTTTTTTTCTTCTCTTTCTTTTAGAATAATCTTGAAGAAGACATAGAAGGTAGAATCAGATCTTGGTATAAATGTTCTGCTTGTCAGTTTATTAAACATAATCCAAAAAGTTAAAGTGCTCCTGTCGTGACAACTGCTAACACAAGTATTTCATAGTGATAAATTATAAGTTTCATTGCTTTCAAGTGTATTTAATGAACAGTCTAATAAAGAAAAATTAATGCATATCCCTTTCAAAACAAATTATTAAAAAATTGCTATAAAACTTATTTGTAATCCAGTGCTGAAAAAGACTCCTCACTGCAGCCTGATCTTACTACTGTGAAGCTTGATGGCTTTTGGTTCAATCTAATGCTTTTCATACAGAAGCATTGCAGACATATGGCTCATTTTGATACAATTTTAGAATGAAAACCATAGTGGCTATCTGAATGACAGCCACTATCAGCATGGAAATAGTAAAACATAAAAAGGACCATTTCTCAGAAGCAGCACTGTTTTTATTAGAAAGGTTGCATGGCGGGGGGCAGCATGTATGCCCCCTTCAATAAAATTAAGTAATGTTGGTGCTCAGATTGTCTTTTTAACAAACTAGAGCAATTGCAACCATCATGCCGTGGCTGTTATATCTACATTTTATCCTCCGTATAAAGGATTGCCCAACTTGGAAGCACTTTGTCAATCAGGGCACATCTTCCCAATGGCATAGGCATGCATGGCTTCAATGTGACAGCATCTGAAAATAACAATGGCTGTCACTATGTTTCCACAGTCCCACACACTCCCTAGGAACTGGCACAGTAGTTACAGCTTCATGTAATGTGACAAAATTGGTTTCAAGTATCTACACACACTATACTATACTTTTTTTAATGTTAGAGTAATCTTACTTTCTTAAGTGCAGTAGGGCGTTTCAGTTTTGGAACTTCTTTTTCTTTTCCTCTTTTAACACGGGGAGCAGTGGAATCCAAAGGGTTAGGAGAACACAATGGCGACTGGGCCTTTGCAAACACATTTCTGCTTGCATGGTCTTTGGTGTGGAATGGGACAGTGCTGCCAACTGAAAAAAAGACAAGTAAATAAATCACCTGGAATAGTATTGGGTTATAACAACAGAAATACATATTAGGAATACCAACATAATTTTCTAGAATTTGTAAGTGCAATTTTCACATTACCTACATGGCAGCAGAGAAGAGGGGTTATGGGTGTCTGAAAGGGCTCTGTTTTTCAAATATAGTTTGATAGAAAACAAATTCAATGGCACACACATTCATAGCACCATAATCACTGCAATAAGCTACAGTGTTGCCACTACAGAGTAGAGATGTGGCCAACAAATATATGGAGGGGGAAGTTACAACTAGATTGTAACACAAGTGGTATACATACTTTATAGGGAATCTTACAGCAAGTCCAACAGCCTATAAAGTAAGGTATCAATTTCACTGTGCTGGTGTCACTTAATACACATGTGAAAAGAGCTCTTATTTTCAAGCTGTATGCCCCCTCACCAGTGTAAGATAAAGGTCTGGTGTTTGTAATCTGACGAGCTTTCATTGCTTGCTGCTGTCTCTCCAACTCTGCCAGCATGTCTCCCAAATCTAGCTGCACTGGAGTCTTGCTTTTCTTTCCTGATGCCTTGGATAATGCTTCCTGCATTAAAAAAAATTATTATTTTTTTAAAATTTTTTTTTAAATAGTGAACAGTAGTTGCTTTAGCGACAATAAAAGTAAACATACAGAGTCCTCTAAAAAGATATAAATTAGTAAAAGTGGCAATGCAGAAGCAGTGATCCCGGCGTAATCATTACAATGAAAAAAAAGTAAGGAATATTTAATTGCTAAAGGGAAGCAAACGTTATCTAGAAATATTTATTCCATATTTATATAAAATAAATTGAACAGAATTAAAAATCCTAAAATATAGGAGCTCTGCAAATTGGCATAAACATTCTCAATGATAGTGTCACTTTATGATGATGTATTATATTATACAAAAACCAAACAAATTATATGCCACAAGCATTCTTTGAATCTGCACTACAGGAAAGACAAAAATACATTTGGATTATTATTCCAAGAGCAACGTAGGGGCAAAGTTATAAAGGTCAGCAGTAACTATGGAAACCATGCTTTACAGAATATATTCACAATACAGGTAAACTTCCAAACGCTGCAGTGTGTAACTAACCTGGAGCTTTTTCTGTTCCATGCTAATTTCGGAATATTCCTGTGCTGTGGCCAAAGCTGCCGCAAGTGCCTTCTTCTTCTGACTCTTAGCCCGCTTTGGTACAGAGGTTGTGATGGGGATTGGGGTTTGGACTATATTAATTGGTGAATTTTCTGGTAAATCATCCAACTAAAATCAAACAATAAGAATGAGAAGTGCATTTTCAAAGTTAATCCCACAAGCTTTTGAGCACAATTTCATCCTGCAAAATATTGCTCATTAGTAATACATAATCAAACAGCAGCAGTGTCTTCTCACAAGAAACCTCATACCTACCACTTTAGCAGCAATCTTTGGTTGGGTGTTTTCATTTCTGGTACTTCCACTGCTACTATTCAACTCAGGAAACTCATCTTCATCCTAAACCGTGAAAATAGTGAAGCCTTACATGTGTGCCCCAGACCACATGATTTGTTAAGTTTCCTATACGACATACCCACTGCTTCCATGGAAGAAAGACTTACCTCGAAATAAAGATGCTCAGAGCCTTGCTCAGGTCTGCTTAACAGGTTTGTAGCTCCTGCCTTACTGTCATTCTTCCTCTGAATATTCTGCCTCCTTTCTGATGATGTGCTTTGCCCTCTTAAACGATATCCAAGCTGCATAGAAGTAAATAAAATAAAAAAATAAAAGTTCAAAATGCAATTATATATTTTGCTGGGCACAATAAATCATTTAGCATGTTATTCTTGCTTGAAGTTGTCTCCCCCAGTAGAGGGCTGCGCAGCAACCAACACACACTTTTCTAATGCTACTTGATACATCCCAGAAAACAAAGTCTGCTTTGTGCGATCACAATTTATTCATTGGGGAATACTCTTAAGCATGCGGAGCACACATCTCCATTATTGTTGGTTTTTCTACCTCTGAGCAGACATCAAGCTGCAACCACGTATCCTTCCTTCAACATGTGTGGAGAAGAAAATGCAATATTGATACAGGCCAACTCACATTAGACACTGAACCAGGCATGGCATGTAAATTAGATTAACCCCTGCAGTGTTCAATGAATGGTACAACTCAACTGGTGACAAAGCCGTCCATAACACAGAAGTGCAAGGGTGGTAAAAGTGATATGGTTTTTAACCCCTTAAGGACACAACTTCAGAAATAAAAGGGAGGCATGATGGAATATTTCCGTCATGTGTCCTTAAGGAGTTCATTTTTTGTTGTTGTTTGTTTTACACTGATATACTGCAAACACATGCAGAAAATATCCTCAAACTATTAGTTTTGGCAGAAACAATATTAGCGTGGCTGTGTGCGTATAATGTGATTACAATATATAGAATTCTGATATCCATTATATTGTACCTGAGTATTATTTCGTAATTCAGTGGGTCTTCCCCCTCTAGAAAATGCTTGACCTTTATCATTCCAAGGCCTTTTCTGTGTAGCCTGGGATGCAACGCTGGCCCAAGTTCCTCCAACTATTAAATTTTTTTTTAAAAAGGAGAGAGAGAAAATCAAATCGTGTTTGTATTGGGTAAATAAAATATTTCAGGAAAAAAAGTACAACCAATATATCTATAATAAAAGCGATAAAAGACTGCTTTAGCTGTACAAGTTACTAATAATACTTTGATATAACACCTGAGAAGACATAAGAAAAATTGATACAATACCTGAAGATGCTGCTGGATCTGATATCTGCAAAAATAAAAAGTCCAATTAGATTTGCTAATGATACCGAGATGCATAAATACATGAACAAGTGGAATACAAGCTTGAAAAACTATACACTGCCTCGAGATGGTATGGGAGGAGGAAAGCACCTAAAGGCTTTTTTTTATCCAAACTTTTCTGCCGCGATCTGCTTAATAAGTACACAACAGTTTTAACTTACAGTAAAGTAGATAGGAAATTTATTAGGGAACATATACATATAAATATATGTATATATTAGGGATAAATATGAAGAAAGCGTGCAAGAGAGAAATATTAAATGAACAGCAGGGTTGCAGATATGGAATGGGGTACTCAGTTATATTAAAATAATGCACAGGAGTCTTAGTAGAATAGGAAACAAAACTTTTCTGTAATCATCACTTCAACAATATATGACCTGCTCAAATCGCTAATAAGTAGCTTACTTAAAAATACTGTTTTGCAAACAGTTCGCAATTTGTTAGATCTAAATTGAAATTAACAAAACTATTAGAACTACAGAAAAGTGCGGAGTATAAAAACAGCAGATGAAATCTTGATGGGTACAAATCAATTAGCCTGTATATTAAAAACTGCACTGGCTATGTTTGCGTATTCACATCTTGCTGAGAATGAAATTATTCACGTTACGTACATTGAGTGCTGTGCAGTCTGTGTGCCTGGAACACATTGCTGCTGCTTGGCAATGCTTTGGACTGCAGTACCCACTGTCACTGTCTATGTCAGCCTCACTTGCTCCCTGTTCACTTGAGGACTCGCCCGCAGGATGTGAAGACCGTCTACGCCTTGGTTTGGATTTCCAGGGAACTGCACCCATGCTTTCACACAGTGACTTATTGGCGATTTCACTGGGAAAATCTACAATAAAAAATATTATGGATTAACTATATCCAGTCTAATGTCTCCTCAAAACGGTTACAGGAGCAGTGATATAAATAACATATGCCATCAGATGAGTAGCCGGTTATACGAATATATCAGTAATTAGAAAAGTAAATCACAGTTTCATCATCCCAAAGAATGTTTCACAGCAATGGCCTGCATATTAATGATAAATTGCAGGATTTTGAATAGGATAGTGCTATTATGGGCTGCATACTAATGATAAATTGCAGGATTTTGAATAGGATAGTGCTATTATGGGCTGCATACTAATGATAAATTGCAGGATTTTGAATAGGATAGTGCTATTATGATTCATGAGTAAACATTTTAAAATTCATAGATACAAAATATGTGCGTGTACATGAATATGGATCCATGTATTCTGAAAACAAAAAATTACATACTAGCTGACCCAGATAAGAAATTGTACTTAACAATGCACATCTGGTGCCTAACCTTAATCCAATCACATAGTGTTTTCATTACACTTTTTTTTTTTTTTAACTTGTTTTCTGATAGCCAATAAAGACAGCTTTATTTACTTGTGTGCATCACGCAAAAGGGGCAAAATAAGGATATATTGTCCAAGTGTTAAAATGGATTACTGTTTACAAGTTATAAAGCAGTATGTTAAATAAAGGTTACTTATGAGGGCACTACCTTTGTGTTCTCAGGATACCATTTTTTTTTTACAAGCAGAGCCATGTAGTGAGATTAATGTTTAATTTCACATTTGCTAGATAATGTAGCAATACTTCATGAAAGAAACTAAATATATATGCTGAATATACTGAAGACAATTTTTCAATCGCAAGCGATACCTTACTGAAAATATTGAATTCCTTTTTTCATTTGTGGAGATGATAAATATATCTGCTGCAGATCCAATGCTATGTTTCTAAACCTCATGGAAACTACCATCAGGAGTCTGAGATTGTGCGCACGTTGTGTGACTATCCCTTACCAGTTTGTTGACAGGCATCCACTAAAAGGACAATTTTAGATTTGATATCGGGGCCTGATGCACAGGTTTCCTTCTGTACGGCCACACTTTTCATTGGCGGTCTCTTACATTTTATTTGAGGCAGAGACTGTTGTGGTTGCTGTTGGTGGAAGGAAAGAAGAAACACCTGCACTGTTAGCACTCTGCTATGTACACAGAACTACAAACAATTAATAAACACAAATGCAACACATTGGTGTTTAAATTCTAAACACATGAAATACAAAACAATAGTTATGTAAAGGGACAATGTAAGCAAACAACTTTAATGAAGCAGTTTTAATATAGATCATATCCCTGGAGTCTCAATGCCCATTCTCACCATTTAGGAGAGAATTCCCTTTTGTTTCTGTTTATGCAGCCCTAGCCAAGCCAGCTAAGTGCGATCAGTTTTAATTAATTATAAAACATTCTAAAGAGAAACTGCCATTTCCCGTTATTTTTAATATTATGTTTACTTGTTCGCAGATTTAACGAAATATTAGTATGTATGTGTTATAATATGTATTTGTGGGGCGTAAAAAAATACAAGCAAATGTTGAAATCTACACGTCTATCATGCAACCCAAAGCCTCCAACTTAGATCTCTGTCAATCATCATAGGCTCGGTCTTTTGCATAGGAAAAGCATACAGAGAAGAGGAGAAATAAAGAACGCTTCTAGTTCTTCTCTTCATTTGCAATGCTTGCCTTAGCTTTGCCTTGTCTGAACTGGATTATGATATCATTTGTTAAATCTGTAGTATAAAACTCAAAACTAAACCAAAAAAACCTCAGAGCATCTAAAAAATGGCAATAAAGGTTTAAGGTGATCTTCAATGTTTTATTTAACGGTGTACATTCCAGACAAGTGACAGTTTCTCTTTAAAAAGACTTATGAACAAAATTTAGGGAAGCCTGAAGAACAGATCAGTCCAGAATTAAATTATCTGAATTTGTTCAAGGGACTAATTTTAGAGGTTTTCTCAAACAGACAAAGGGATTATCAGATCTGTAAAGGGTGATTAACCAGACAGAAGATGTTACAGTGTAAAAACACGTCTCTGTAGCCTTTCTTTTTAAAATGGTTTCATTCCGAAGATAAATACTATTTTGTCCTGTATGCAAGTGTCCCCTCCCTGGGCTGTCAGACAGCCTCTTGGTATAATCACTCCTTGACTGACAGAATCAGTTCTGTGCTCCAGTGTCAGAATACATAGCATGTCAACCTCAGATGCTTTAGACAGACTGTTCATGGTTAGGTGAGTTCACACATAGTGGCAAAGCTCCTGTTACATGGCTCTCAGGCAATTTAACTTTCTACTCTACAATTCACTGCTAAAGATAAAACTACTCTGTTCTGGTTTACCTCTGGTATTCTTTGGTAAAAATACAAAAAATACCCACTTTGCTAGAAATTTATGTCTCATCAAAATGAGTGTAAGAATTGCCTGCTCATGCTAGACTACAACTCCTATCATGCTCAGTGAGATCCTGGCTGAGTCTAGTGGGAGTCAATATACAGATGTGATGAAATGGGATGATAAAGCAACGCTTTGCTTATACAGAATCGAACTCCAGTCAACCTCATCTAATTGATGATTACGCTTGATTGGATTATTAGTCCACAAAAGCTTTACTCATTTTTATGTGTCCAGAGGGCGACAGCTTTATACTTAAAAAGTTAAACAGCCCTTGAACTAAAACAATCCTAAAGTATGATTTATTTTTCTAATTGAGTTCTGAAATCTTACAACCATCCACTTCTATAGTAAGCTACAGACTGGAGATTAGGTCCTAAATGTTTCTCTATGGGGATAGTTGATTGGGAAATTCCAAGAACTCACAAGTAAGCAAGTGCTGTGCTAAGGGTAGGTGGATCATCATTAGTAGTACCATCCAGTTCTGCAGTTAATGGAAGGTATGAATTTTATGGTTTAGGAAATATCTGTGCAAATTTTAATAAATTAATTTTCCATTTGCAATAATTAATCACATGCATTAAAAAACATTATGCATTTTTTGCACACAGTTTTCCTTTAAATATTTCATTATTTCTTTTTGTTATACAAATACCCAATATATTATTTTTATACGTACTTTATGTATAAGTGGTCCTCTTGTGCTGCTTCGGTTTCTCTGACTGGATAACATGCTGATCTGAGCCTGCTGGCTTGCACGATCATTGCAGTCTACAGATACTGCATTTACAGCATTGGTGGTTTGGAGTGGTGTTGGATAGGTAGGTGGAAAAGGGTGATAGAATCCCATGACTTGAGCACAGGGTGCTGGCATTAGCTGATAATACATCATATAATCTGTGGACACAGGTGGCTGACTAGGTAGAACAGGGTAAGCAAGGTAGGGACCAGGAGGATTTGAGTTTGATGGTTGCCACCTTATATCATTATTATAAAGCTGAAATTGTCTGAAAGAAAGGAGATATAGTTGGACAATTATTATCATCATTTATATAGCACCAACATATTCCACTGGGATTTACAATTATACATTGGGGATATAAAACAACAAGCATGGCATACAAAGTGGTGCTGACAAAGACAAGAGGTGAAGAGGAACCTGCTCTAAATCAAAAATACAAATTAGAGTAGTTACAATATAGGGTTTCTAACAAAGTGCCAAGAATAACAAAGTGTTCAGTTAGGCGTTCCTAGTGCCAATTTTTCAATCAACATACAATCATAACAATGATTCCTATAAATTACAGTTAACTTCTGAAATTACACTGATACTACAGTGTGACCCAACTGTCCCTGGGTAAAGTTATATAAATCACCAGGGCAAGTACATTATATAGGCCGCTGGGCTACTTTGTAAGTCAAGACACACATGGACATGTGTAGGGAAATGGTGGACAATTTACTACAGCACAAACCATGTATATTTTTGGTAACTCCAATTACTGCAGCCGTCTGTGTGTGACCCCCTATACACACACGCGCGTATGAAGCTAAGGATTGTAATAGTAGCAACTTAAACAGTCATTTTTATTTGTAATCATTATATATTATTTTGACCAGTTAAGTAGGTAGATATATATATATATATATATATATATATATTTTAAAAAAAACTACGATACTTTGTGTACATTACAAACACCAGAGAATTATGTTCTAGAAAAAGACTATATTAGTATAACTTTAGAAGATAAATAAGATTTGGAAGAACAAATCGGGGGCTGCAAATGCTCAGCGATCTTATTATTATTATGCTATTTATAGAGCGCTGTCAAATTCCGCAGCGCTTTACAATGGGTGGACGAACAGACATGTAGTTGTAACCAGCCAAGTTGGACACACAGGAACAGAGGGGTTGAGGGCCCTGGTCAATGAGCTTACATGCTAGAGGGAGTGGGGTAAAATGACACAAAAAGGTAAGGATAGTATTAGACTACTGACAGTTGCAGAAGAAGAATCAGTCAGGAGCTATTAACAGTTTAATTGATACGCTTTTATGAAGAAGTGGGTTTTTAACGATTTTTTGAAGGAGTGGAGACTGGGTGAGCATCTAAAGGAGGAGGGAAGCGAGTTCCACAGGAACGGTGCAGCCCTCGAGAAATCTTGAAGGCGAGCATCAGGAGTGGGAGTACGGACAGAAGATAGACGTAAGTCTTTAGCAGATCGTAAGGGCCTAGACGGGACATACTTGTGTATAAGGGAGGATAGATAGGTGGAAGCAGCATTATGTAGAGATTTGAAAGCAAGAACCAGAATTTTAAATTGAGCTCTATATTTTATAAGAAGCCAATGTAGGGACTGACAGAAGGGTGAGGCATGGGAGGTGCGGGCGGACAGGAAGATGAGCCTCGCCGCCGCATTCATTATGGACTGTAACGGCGCAAGTTGGGAGCACGTAAGACCACTGAGAAGCGGATTACAGTAGTCAAGGCGAGAAAGGACAGTGGAATGGACCAACACCTTAGTCGCATCTGGCGTTAAGTAGGGGCGGATGCGCGCAATGTTTTTGAGATTGAAATGACAGGATTTGGCGATAGACTGAACATGAGGCTTGAAGGAGAGGTCGGAGTCAAAGAGAACACCTAGGCAGCGAGCCTGCGTGGTGGAGCTGATGGTAGCACTGTTGACTTGGAGGGAGACAGACACAGGAGTAACAACACTTGAGGGAGGAAAGACCAGAATTTCAGTTTTGGTCAAGTTTAGTTTAAGGAAGTGGGCAGCCATCCAGTTAGAAACAGCAGAGAGGTAGTCAGAGACACTAGTCAAGAGGGACGGGGAGAGATCAGGAGAGGACAGGTAGATTTGCGTGTCATCTGCATAGAAATGATATTGGAAGCCAAAGGAACTAATGAGTTTACCAAGGGAGGCAGTATAGATGGAGAACAGTAGGGGACCAAGGACTGAACATTGGGGGACACCAACAGAGGAGTTGGGGAGAAGAAGCAGAGCCAGAGAAAGAAACACTGAAAGAGCGCTGGGAGAGGTAGGAGGAGCACCAGGAGAGAGCAATATCTTGTACACCGATATTGCGGAGGATGAGAAGAAGCCGTTGATGATCAACAGTGTCAAAAGCCACAGACAGGTCAAGGAGAATTAGGATAGAGTATTGACCACGAGATTTTGCAGCGAGTAGATCATTGGATACTTTGGTCAGTGCAGTTTCCACAGAGTGCTTAGCGCGGAAACCAGACTGAAGCGGGTCTAGCAGAGAGTTGAACTCGAGGAAGTCTGTCAATCTCGCATACACAATTTTTTCAAGGATCTTGGATGCAAAAGGCAGTAGCGAGATAGGACGATAGTTGGATGGGGAGTTAGGGTCAAGATTAGGCTTCTTTAGAATTGGGGTTACAGTTGCATGTTTGAAGGGCAATGGAAATATACCAGAGGAGAGAGAGAGATTGAGAATTTTAGTGAGAGGTGGAGAAAGAGAAGAAGACAGAGTACGGATGAGATGCGAGGGAATTGGATCTAGGGAGCAGGTGGTGGGGCGGAAGGACTGGAGCAAAGCAGAAACCTCTTCCAATGTAGCGGGTGCGAATGAACATAAAACAGCAGAGGGAGTGAAGTTAGGGGAAGTATTGTAAGGGGAAGAAGACAGATGAGAGATCTCTTCTCTGATTGTAGAGATCTTGTCAGTGAAGTGAGATGAATGTGTGAAATAGTCGTTTGGGTTCGCGGGAGAGTGTGGTTATGAGGATATTGAAGTAATTAACTTTTGCAGAGGAAAGAGCCAAGCTGTATGAGCTCAGCATAAATTTATAGTGGAGAAAGTCAGATGCGCAGTGAGACTTTCTCCAACAGCGTTCAGCAGTTCAGGAGCATTTTTGGAGGTATCGAGTGAGCTTGGTGTGCCAGGGTTGTTGTTGGGGGGAGGCCTGCGGCGTTTAAATGTACAAGGTGCCATGATGTCAAGTTGAGAGGAGAGGGTGGAATTGTAGAAGGAGGTTGCAGAACTAGGACAGGTGAGGTTTGAGATAGGTGAAAGGAGAGTTTGGATATTTGTGGAGAAATGCTCTACGTCAAGACATTGGAGGTTTCTGTGAGATACACATTTATGCGTATTTGATATAATTACAACATCTTGATTTACATTTTTGGTTATGTTCTAGAAATGTAGATTATATTTACAATGATTTTTTTCTTATTTAATCTTTATTGAAGTATTTTCTTGAGGTAAACAAAAAAAACTAAATATCACAATACAAGACGTCATATGTCATGAAAATTTTAAGTTGCAGAAATTAGCATTTTGTTCATAAAAAGAAAGAAAAACATGTGATTGTTTTACAAATGCAACTCTATACATTATATTTTATCCTCCACATTCATCCGGGCGGGCCATTCTTAGCTTGTGTACAAAACCAATGTATTCGAAATAGAACATTTTAGTCAGTTATGTTCTTAAAGTTGCGTATTAGGGATTTCATTACTTCCTAACTTATTATTTCATTATAGAAGTGGAAAATGTAATCTTTATTATTGTTGTAGTGTATAGCTTTCTCCATTTCTAATGGATGAACTAATTGGGATACAAATGACTGTATTACAGAACTGAATTTGTTTTCCAGCATCTGGAAATCACCATCTTGGCAGCAGTCAGACAGTGATTCATTATAATCCTGGCTTCTTGATTTATACTTTCGCAATTCAATTGTAAAAAAGTGCCACTTCAGGCATTTTTGCCAGACCAGGGGCGCCTAATTGATTTGTTGATCTATAGACTGCTGTCCAAAAATGCGTAGTTTGGGAGCAACTCCACCAAATGTGTGTCATAGATCCAACCTCTGCCACATCTCCAACACAATGAGGAGTGCCTTGAAGACATATTTGCAAGTCTTTCCGGGACAAGATACCATCTCTGCATTACCTTCACATAAATATGCTCAGGCAGTGTAGTTATAACCTTGGATTTTTTACAATTTCTTAAATTATGGTCTGGGACAAACATCTCTAAAATTCTAAAATTAGCACCGCTATAGTTTATAAAAAAATAAATAATAATAATTAGCTCAGTTTTTATGGATTTCAATTGGTTCAGAGTCTGTTGTAAAACCAGTGGGAAATCTGGCGTAGCAGACTATTCATAAGATCGTGCCAAATTAATAAGCAAAGATCTTTTTTTTCTTTGGCTTGCTCTGTTTCTAGTTTGTACCAAACTTCAGTTTTAGAATTGGTCGGTTGTAATATGTATATATGGACCAACGGATCTCTATAATTGCAGGGTATCCCAGCAGATATGTTTCAACCTTAAATAGAAGAACTAAAAAGTTACCAAATTAAATTAAATAACAGGAGGTTTTTAATAGCAATTCAATCATTATTAAAATCTAAGTACACCTGCCCTGTTGAATCAAACCTTTTAAGTGAGTACTACACCAACAACTCACTGTGCTGCTTTCAGCTAAAAGGGTAAGTGGCAGCGCTGTAACATGACAAACAAATATAGAAAACTAAACCCTGTGATCAAACTCTCACCACTCTTGGGCAGCAGCAATGGCTATAGTATTCATCAGCCCAAATACATTGAACATTAGCGGGGGGAAAAAAAATAGTATGTGCTTATGAAAGCCTTGTGAACAAGCAAAGGCATTTAATTGCCGCACAAGATTATTTAGATCAGAATTATTGTGTATCGAAGGTTACCATGACTAAGCAAATAGAACTGATTTATAAATGCTACAATACTTGTAAAATATTTACACAGAAGAAAAGCAAAGTTCATGCATTCTAGGGCATGTGATTCTGTACTTTTACTGAAGCATATCTGCCAGAGAAATATTACAAAATCTATTTATAGAATGGCTCATTAAGCTGTAAACATCACAATCTGAATACCTCGGTGCTGGCACGCGACAAAAATCAAATTACCTATTGGACTGGTTTTCTTGAACAAATGGATAGCATGTTATGAGATAGCTTGGAATGGGAGTGGCTTCCAGTCCACCGACACCTCCACTGTCACCAGGTACAGCCATGGGCATAGCGATCGTTTCGGCTCCCTTCTTCTGAGGAACAAATGGTTCTACTTCGGCAGATAATTTTCCATTCTGCAACAAAAAAATAGTTAATTATAAGTAACTCTTTATTACCCAAACTAGACACATGTAATATTAATGCTTTAAGAAAGTCCATCATTGCACATGTATGCAGCCACACCCAGCAAAAAGAAAATGTCAGCGAGGTCAACTTGTAACCACATCAATCAACTCTCACTGTACAATGAGCAAACTATTAACTGATAAAAATAACCACCTAATTCATTCTCACCAGATTTAAAAACAACATGACTTTGCTATTTATAGAACTGTCTGTTTTAAAGGGTGTGAGATAATTTATTGTTCAATATAAATGTAGGTAGTTACGCAGCAACCCAATATAATCAAAGAATATCAAAAAGCAAACACAGAATTTACATATTACATCACATCACAAATCTATTACCACCTCTCCAGAAAAATGTGTATAAGTATGTATGCATAGGTGTTGTAGACAGAGTTCTGGGCTACCTAGATCCCCACACACAATTAAAAATAACTCTGTATGTGTAATGTTTCAAGCATATTCCTACCACCATGATCACTTTTAATCACTGACGTGGTCCTGGTTGTTGAAGTAACCCTTTAACTGTTGCAAAAATGTTCTTAACCTTTAGACTTAGTAACTGGAGGAACATCTTTTAGCAGACATGAGTTTAACTAAACATGTCCTATACCTAATGATTAAACCTACTCGTTGGCTTTTTCGGCCCATTCCTGTTTGTATGAAGTGCTCCAGTAGAGCTCCTGTTTTTAGCAAGAATATATCCATTATTCTGCCTTCCTCATATAGCTCAGATGTCGAGAGTGATCATAGCACACGTAGCATTTTCCCCAAATATTAGCAGAGACAAGATGAAGGGTGAAAACCAAGTACACGTATTAGCAGACACACATCATTTATGCACTTACAAATGCGTATTCACCATCCAGGTGGTGATCAACATAAGATAAGACAGTTCCTTCCCAGGTGCCACGATGTTTGGGTCTGCTATCAGCAGCCCACTTGCTGAGCCCCAATCTGCAAGGATTTTGGGGAATGAAGCCCTAAAACCTCCTTCTCAAACATGGCACTTTCACAACCAATATATTCCTGAACAGCTCACCCCCTCAGCTACTTACTTTCCAAAATTAGCCATGATTCCATTTACTTTGTCCTATAACCAGCTGTCGGCTGTTCCAAACCAAAAAGAGATATTTTTCACACAATACGTGGGTGGAGGATATCCTATTCAGCATGTTTACTTTCATAGTAAAATCAACTTTATATCATCATAGGAAGAAATACAACAACAAAATCCAAGGTGTGAAGTGGACACGGTGATTCTATTTCTGAGGCGAACAGTATTAGGAGTTTTCATGCCTCCTTAAAAGATCCCCTTCCTATTATTTTAGTAAATTAAAATCCCTACTGAGATATCTTATTAATAATAATAATACGGGGTTTGAAGAAGAGAACAAAGAAACTTCTAGGAATACTACAACACAGGGACCTAGTTCCTATTTTGTAACATAGCAACACTAGTAAATCACAGATAACAAAAAAGTGCTCTATGCTTAAAGGCGCTTTAGACAAATATTAAAGTGCAAAGTGTTAGCAGCTTCCAAACAAATGTAGGAACTCTAACACCGTACACTAAAGCGATTTGAGCCTATCCATACCAGGCTCTTTCCCATGTGAGTGTATTCATTTTTACTAGTCCACTGACTTATCACCAAAGGGATTACACTATATGAGTTATTTTTACAGTGTTTTCATTGTTTAACCCTTAAGGGTAAGTGTTACATTGATTTTATTTTAGCACTACACAGCTTTTTACTATTGGTATATCTTTACCATGTAGTAATTATCTGTACAGCAACACTAGGGTATAGTTTTATGTGGCTGGTTTCAACCTTCACATCTCTCATGGTTCTCTAACAAGGATGCTATGGGGATGAGGAGAATGGTTCTTTTTGACACTTTGCATGGTTTTCTGTGAGATCAGCCTCCTCCTTACAGATTACGAACTCTAAGCCCCTCCACAAGCTATAGGAATGGAGGATTCCATCACATAAATTATCGACAGAATCACTCAATGATAGAAGTAATTGAATAGCTGAGTTTAGTCAACTCTTTCCTTGTCTTTTCATAAGAAATCCATGTATAACAGCCCACAACTCGCTTCATAAATTAGTAATGGAAAGGAGACTCCAATAAGGACTACGAGAATTGCTTTCTAGGGCAGGTCCGTTGTATTGGAGCATCTATAGAGATGTTTACTAAAGAGGTTAATATACTTTTCCAAGTAAAGAAATTAAAATACTTCAATATGATCAATAAAGAGATGTAAATCAATACCAACTCCCCCCCCTCCCCCCACCCCAAAAAAATGTGCATGACTTAGTGTGCTTGGATAAAGATCACATCATGTTATTTAAAGCAAATGGAAGGGACACTCTAAACACCATAACCAACACAGAAATACAAGAATAAGGTGGAGAGTGTATATTAGGTGGCACAATATTTTTTATAATGTAATTGGTTTGATATAGTTTATACAGTAAATATGTGAAGAATAAAAATGGGCAGACATGAAAACATCATGGGCATAATTATGTGTGATGGTGTGGAAACAGAATACAAAGCAAACATTTTCTACACACCTTTAATTTTGCTCTGATTTTTCAGGTGCTGAACTTTCAATTGATTGAGAAGTGTAATAAACCAACTTTTAAAGGAACACTGTAGTCACCAAAACAACTTTAGCCTAATGAAACCGTTTTGCTGTATAGATCATGCAAATGTGGATTCACTGCTCAATTCTCTGCCATTAAATCACTTTGTTTATGCATCCCTAATTACAGCTCCCTGCATGTGACCAGCACACAATAAACACTTCCTGTAAAGAGAGATCTAATATTTAGACATCCTGTATTGCATAGTATGTTTAATTTAGAATTTCATATTTCCTGCACTGCTAGACCTTGAAGGAGCCTCCTGTGTGTGATTAAAGTTACATTTACAGAGCAGGAGATACAAGCTTCTAAAGATAACGTCTGATTGAAAATGAAACCATTCTTTTATGCAGACTGTTTCAGTCACAGTCAACAAAGTAGTGTCTAGAGCTGTATAAACAGAAATAAAGGTCATTTTTACTCCTAAATGGCTGAGAATTGGGCATTGAGACAGCAGGGGCATGAACTATACACCCAAACTGCTTCATTAAGCTAAAGTTGTTTTGGTGACTACAGTATCCCTTTAGATGTCAAAATGATGCCAAGATAGATAGATATATATGTAAAAATGATACCAAGATAGATATATAGATAAAACACTTTTATTTCTGTTTATACAGCTCTAGACACTACTTTCTTGACTGTGACTGAAACTTTATATATAAAGGTCCATCAAAAAATCAAATAATTCAATAATCAGTTTTAAAATAGTGTGTCAAAGGGTTGTAATATGGAAGTTTTCGGGGGAGTGTCACCAAGGAACATTTGACTTTACATTAATGGTGGATATCTAAAGTACAATATGTATACTATGGGCTACATGAAGGATAGTACATGCCAGAAATTCCCTTTGAATGAGTGGTAAATGCTAGCACATTAAAGGAATTAAAAAAAATGTTTGGGATTTGCATAAAGTAAACCTGAACAAGTAACAGAGATCAGTCTGATAGACTTTTAAAATGAACAGACAAGAGGTGTCAATACCTTTTTATCAGTCATCAATCTGTGGGTGGGTGGTTGTTTTTTTTCAATGTATGATTGAGCACTATCCAATGTATCCATGTGTTTATAACATTCTGAGTCATCAAATTATTTGGCAAATAAACACAAAGGATATCGAATGGAGTGTAGCCATGGAAGTAAAAACAAAAGTGCTCTAACACGGAAAGAATGCACAGAGATGAAAGTTCTAAACAAAGTGTTCAAAGAACAAGGAAAATTCATACTGATCCAAAATCATCTCTGCATTACCGTATTATTTATAATAGAAGACGCACCCTATTATAGTTTAACTTGAACTTTAGGAAAAAAACTAAAACAACATGCACCATGATTATAGTAAACTCCAGCTTGTGTGTAATGTAAAACAGTGTGTATAGTGAATGCTGTGAACATGCAGTGGACGTAATCATACTTGCGTACACAACGAACACACACCATACACGACAAGCAGAATGCACACAAGGATGACACACAACAAGCACACACACTATGAAAAAGGGGGAGACTATGGGAGGGCAAAGGGTAAGAACACTCAGGATTTTTGCAAAATAAACCCAAATGGCAAAACTGATGCAAAAATAGCCCTTTTGAGACAACATTTAGAGAATTTTTCCAGATTAGTTATTTTTGCCTCTATTTCTCGTTTCAGATTTCTTTTGTAAAAATTCACAATCCTGCAAATAGCACTGTCCAGGGCTCTTGGCAGAGGCCCCAAAATCATTTTTAACTGCACTTACTTATTTTGTTTCAGGACATGTAGCTTGTTATGGCAAACAAGTAGATTGGGCTACCACACTCCTGAGGTGTTACTTGAAGGCATGACAAACATGTAAAACAGTGTGGGGACCTTTTAGGAGACTGCAGTGACACAGATGGAACCAGAGTGCTAGGAACCTTCCCATGGTTCCAGTCTAGGATTATTGAGCAAAAGGGGGTGGGAGTAAGTACCTATGTATGGGCCCAACCAAAAGTAAAGGGAGCTCTCCGTTAGGTAGAGAACCTCTCTCAATCTAAGGAAACCGTCAGACAGATTATGTCCTCAGCTACCTATGTCATAAAGGACAAGTATTCCGGTCACAGTGTCATTCACAGAAACGTTAGAGGGTACACGAATATTACTGGCTGGGTTTGGTGCAAAAGGATCAGGAGGGAAAGGGAAATTTGCGGTTAGCTATGCTGACCAGGGTTACCTGGTCAGAGAACAATGAACTGGAGAATTGCACTTTAAACCGTAAAACAAGCACACAATTAACTCTTTCAGTACGGACACATCAAATACGGTACTACTCCACACAATGTTAACCCTTTGTTGTCCACATTGGTTAGTGCTTCCCAGAGTTAACCCCCAGGTACCAGTAGAGATTAACCTTTAAAATTTCCAATGTATAGCTGGTAGTTTTTACGGTGTCCTTTGTGACTAACCTGTTAAATACACATGCACAGATGTTTGTTCTTTTGGGACCCTTATCTTTGGACACAGGCTAGTCAAACCCTGGTAACATACAACTGGCCTTTTCAGCAGATGATCAGTCTCAAACGGTCGATAAACAGCTGTTTGGCAAAGACAGCTATTGAGTGCTGAACTAACACACCCACAGCGAACTCACGCCTACCACTGCCTTCAACGTTGGAAAAGATCACACTTAATGCAGAAGTATAGTTTCCACATTATCGGTTTATAGGTGCCAGGGAAAGCTCTAAAACAGGGCACAATGCCCACTGATTTATAGCATCATAATCAATACAACAAGCTGCACCTTTAATGCTCTGACTTCTACTACACAAATCAATTAGTCTCAAAAGGTGGAGCATGTTAAAAAAAAATAAATAAAAAAAAAAAAACAGGCTTGATGAGATTAGTTTCCCAGAAAGCCGAGTCTCCTATTACCCAGTTCTCCCGCATAACCCAAACATAAAGCTAAAAAAAAAAAACACACACACACACAAAAAAAAAACCTGACATGCTGTGATTAGCATATTGCACAGAGCTTTTTAACAATAATTCTGTTCATTTGGACACCCAGGCTTCAATATAATATTGTTGATAATAATTTTTGGGAAAAACTGGTAATTTTAACCGTTACTATTTTTCTAAATAATAAAATCTATCATGTATAAAATATAACAATAAAAAAAAATTGCAAAATTTTCTAAAGTTTATCCAAAAATATTAGATCATGTAAAAGCTTATCCAACAATATTAAGTTGAAGCCCAAGGTATAAATGTATTTTCAGATTCAGTGTATTCTGGCAGGTACTTGTTTTGAAACTGTAATGCCAGAACAGGGCATGAGTTTAGAGCAGAATCCCTAAATCACAGCCCCGATCTGCGTACTCTGGGATTTGCGGAGAGAGTACTCTACTTCACTAACAGCCGAATTTGCTCTATTAACAAAAGTATAAATGGATAGCTGGGGATTTTAATTGTGTATTGGACCCTCAGAAAGATTAAAAAAAAAAAAAAAAAAAACTTATGGGAAGTAGGGTTAGGAATAAAAATATAATAAAACATGCGAAAGCACTGACCAATACTCTGAATAATTTTGAGTTATATGAAGCATGGCGCGTACTTAACCCGGAAACGAGAAATTATACCCATTTATCAAGAGTACATCTCTCTTACTCGAGAATCAATAGGATTTGGGGTAATGTGAATCGGATTGAGAAATTAACAAGAATAAGAATAGTTGAAAATGTGTGGTCAGAACATAGCTTTTACATATTAGAGGTACATGATAGCTTTCTAGGAAATAATAATAGAACCTGGAAATTAAATAATGATTATATAATAAAAAATATCAAACTCATTCTTTCTTGTATATAGATTCCTATTGAGCAAACAGTTGGCCCTTACTTTTAATGATGCGGTTCAGAGAGGGAGCTTTCCATGAGAAATGCTTGGAGCAAATGTGTTGCCAATTCTGAAGCAAGGAAAGGACCCCACATTGGTTTCAAACTATCGGCCTATTTCCCTAACAAATACAGATGTTAAAATATTTGCCTCTATTCTAGCAACCCTGCTTAAATTGGTAATTAAAAAATTAATCCATAAAGACCAAACTGGCTTTATGCCAGGAGAATGGGTAGGATCCAATACCAGACGAATTATTGATATTATAGACAGTGCAAAAAGGAAACAGATACCCCTTATGACTATCGCGGTAGATGCGGAAAAAGCTTTTGATAGGCTGAACTGGAAGTTTCTAGAATTAACTTTAGAAACACATAATATTACTGGCTGGATGTCAAATGGTATTATGGTACTTTATAAAAATCCCTCTGCTAGAATAGTTGGACCAAATATTTGCTCAGATGAGGTACCAATAAAGAATGGGGTTAGACAAGGTTGTCCACTATTGCCATTGTTATACATACAGTCTATTGAACCCCTAGTGGAAAGCATTAGGAAAAACTCAAAAATCAAGGGATATAAGATAAATGATGACTAATTTAAGATCAGCCTTTATGCTGATATTCTTCTCTCATTGGTAGACCCGATTAAGTTGCTAGACCCTTTGATGACAGAAGTAAGGCAATATAGCCAATTAGCAAACTATAAAATAAATAACGATAAGACTATAGTTATGAGTATTAAGAAAAAACATAGAGATGAGATTAAAAGTAAATATGAGTTTGTTTGGACTACAGAGAAATTTGCTTATTTGGGAGTAACAATCACTAAAAATATTGACAGAAAGATGGAAGTAAACTTCTTACAAAAAATACTAACCTATTACTTAAAACTTGGAGACATATACAGATTACATGGTGGGGGCGCATTAACGTTGTTAATTCCTATATTGTTCCTAAATGGAATTATTTAATGCAAATGGTACTTCTTAGAATTTCACCTAGCTGGTTAATGTAACTGCAGAAGAGTTTGGAAAATTTTATTAACCAAGGAGAAAAGAATAGAATTAATAGATCAATTATGTCTCTAAAACTTACAGATGGGGGTTTAAATTTTCCAAATGTACTGGGCGAACCAATTAACTCATGTTTATAGAACTCAGGTAGAAACTGCTATGAATGAACCCTGGTTTAAAATGGAAATGGATGATTTAGGATTAAATAATGTAGAAGGTTTATTATGGAATACAAAATATATAGAAAAAATGGGTATAGATATTAAGAATAATAAAATATGGTCACAGCTTCAGCCGATGTGGGAAGAGATTAAAAGAAAAATGGGCCTGAGATATGGAATACTATATTTCTCTACGCTGGGTGTAATCAAAGCTAATATTAAGGATCTGACTGGATTCCTGGAGAATTTGCGTGATAAAAAAAAAAATATCACAGGTTATATATAATGATAAATTAATGTTGTTTGAATCCCTTAAAGATAGATTCCAGATACCAAGTAATGGGATTTTTTATCTTATATAAGGGTCAAATATTTTGTACAGAAATTTTTAGTTATACCGTCAGAGAAATCCCCAAGGTTACTAAGATCTCTCTTTTCAAATACAGCTTCATCTAAGATTCTAGCTAAGGCAATAAAAATTAGAAATATTAATTATGGGGTAGCCACCCCTAAAAAAAATTAAGTGGGAAAGAGATTTAAATTGCCAATTAGATAAGCAAGCATGGTGCAAATCTTTTAATAAGACATGTAAGCAAGTACAATGCCTAAACCTCATGGAGACTCACTATAAAGTCATGAATAGATTATATTTGGTCCCCAAAAAGTTGGCGCAGATGTATCCAAATACATCTCCACTGTGCTGGAGATGCAGTAGAGAGGAAGGGATTTATCTCCACATATCGTGGACCTGTCCAGAGATTCAGCATTTAATAGATTGGTTTTATAAATTTATTGTAGATCCGACGAAGATGGTGCTGGATAGGAAACCCGAAGTTGTGTTACTGCATATGCACTGGCCAAGACTACCCTATAAAATAGAATGTCTCTTGATACATTGCTGTGTAGCTTTTAAAATTGTAATTGCTCGACACTACACCTAAAAACTGGTATAACAGTTTATAAGTAAAGCACAGTGACCGCCAACAATACACGACCCATCACTAGGGCCTCTCTACGAAGCTCCCCACGGCCACAAGAGAATATGACAGGGCACCGTTACCCGCGACCAAACCAGAACCTGAACTGGGATGGCTCGTAGGACGGGGCGACATTGGCAGTAACTGACGGACACAAACCTAAATGATAGCAAACCCACCACGACACCGACTGATTCACGGCATTGCCCAGAGCACATAGCCTACAGCACAAAAGTCAGAACTGCTCTACGCAGAACAGCGAAAATAGACTCTATGTATCCAATGTGAGTCGGCTGGAAAGTGCTGCGAAATATGTATTACACTCTCAGAGGTTATTGTATGTTACTTTATTGTGTTGCACTGTTGTGTTCTTTGTATTTTATGAACGGGCAAGAACTGCCCCCCATAATTGAAACCGACACAGAGCGGCAAAATACCAATGTCTCCTAACCTAAAAAACATCTATCCATTGTTATATGCTAAGCAAAACTGCCTTGTAATCGGCCCCTGCGTGAGCCGCTGTATTTTGCTATGCAGCATTCAGTGTTGACTCAAAAATAAAGAATTAAAAAAAAAAAAAAATTGTAATTCCTCGGAATTGGAGAAACAATCAATGATTATCAGAAGAAATAATTAAAGAACAAATCTTGATGCAGAATAAGATGGAGAGGGACCTAAGTATCCCTTTTTTGAATAATCTAAAAAAATATAGGTTATGGCAAGACTGGGTAAATGATATTCAATAATATATTTTGAGTTAATGTATGGTGGGTGTTCTTTGTTTTTATCAGCCCCTGAGCATAGACCTAGCCTTCTTCTACCCCAGGATCCTGCAGAGGTTAATCTTTATATACGGTATATATTTTTTGTATATTGTCATGCAATGCATGCCTGATAAGATGTACTATATGGTTGTCTATGTATTTTATATATGTTTGTGATGTATGGTATAATGTGATATGTATTTTTTACTGTTTTTTCTTCTGTGAAAAACTTAAGAAAATAAATTATAAATAAAAAAATTATAAATGAAATACAAAGAAGGCAAACCAATCTGATAAGTGATCAGTTGAGGTAATAAAAAAATAAAAAAAAGTACAGATTGCTAATGGCTAATGTAATGGCTTAGTCAATGATGCTATGTTCTGTGAATCTTGTCTGGAATACAAAATACTGGGGACACAACTGATCATCCTATTCTCTCACAGTAAGAATGTTTTGTTTTTTCTTTCTTTGTCTCTTATTTTGTTATTCTGCCATATTTCATCTTTCGAATGTTAATCTACTTACTGTATTACAAAACAACTGTAATAGTGGCATTGTATGTTTATACTGATAAATGTTCCTAAATCTAAAAAAAAAACTGTAATAAAATGCATGAATATTATAAATATTATGCAGTTATGAAATGGGAAGTCAGCACTTATTTTTATGCAGGCTTGTAGTTTCCAAATTGTTCCTTTTAATACTTTATAGTATCATGAAGACTTGTCTTATATAGAAGCATTAAGGAGAAAAGGTGCATATGCAGTAATTGCCAGAAGTTCAGATAAAACAGAACAGCAAAAAAAAAAAAAAAGTAAAAAAAAAAAAAAAAAGCCCTAAAAATGAGCTAATGCTTTTTTTACCTTTAGTGGTTCACCATAATTTGCTATTTAATGATGTGTCTAATTGACATTCAATGACAACTAATGACATTTAATGATCACATACTAGAATGCAAAAATCAGTGCACTATACCAGGCATTTTATGTATCTTTCTCCCCTTCACAACTGTCATAAATCAAGTCAAATAAATTTAATCTTAATAACTGGACTTGTTATTGTGTAACTTGAAAAGTGTACACTTAATTTCTTTTTTTTAAATCTTTGTTCTAAACATCTCCAACTAAAATGTCTTTTATTAAACAGCTTCTGTCTTCGTTACCAGCTGCGGGACGAAGATGACACTAACAGGAACAGGCTTGTTTGGTCTCCAAATTGCTCTACTGTATATTTGCATAAAAATGCTTTTGTTCATTGTCACTTAACTGCTTCATTTAAACGCCAGTATTTATAGACATGCTTATGAAACAGTCCACTCCACATATCTCTGGGTCTGTCAAAATAAATCATCTAGTTAATGAAATAATGACTGCATGTCAAATATTTTCTCATACCTACAAATGTTTTTTGTTTTTTAAATAAATATCGCATCCTAGTAATATAATACAACAGCAGTTTTCAAGTGCAGCATCTCAGACACATTTGGCCTTAAACATGTACCAGTTATACTTATGGAAAACTGTTTTTGTCAGATAAACTACAAGAACGTGGATAGGTTTGGCATACAAACAGGCAGGATACATACACTGAACAAAATTATAAACACTTTTTGCCCCCATTTTTCATGGGCTGAACTCTAAGACTTTCTATGTACACAAAAGGCCTATTTCTCTCAAATATTGTTCACAAATCTAAATCCAAGTCTAAATCTGTGTTAGTGAGCACTGCTCCTTTGCCGAGATAATCCACCTCACAGGTGTGGCATTTCAAGATGCTGATTAGACAGCATTACTATTGCACAGGTGTGCCTTGGACTGGCCACAATAACAGGCCACTCTAAAATGTGCAGTTTTATTACACAGCACAATGCCACAGATGTCGCAAGTTTTGAGGGAGCGTGCAATTGGCATGCTGACTGCAGGAATGTCCAGAGCTGTTGCCCGTGAATTTCTCTACCATAAGCAGTCTGTCCAAAAGGCATTTCAGAGAATTTGGCAGTACATCAAACCTGCCTCACAACCACAGAGGACGTGTAACTACTCCAGCCTAGGACCTCCACATCCAGCATCTTCACCTCCAAGATCGTCTGAGACCAGCCACCCGCTGCAACAATCGGTTTGCATAACCACAGAATGTCTGCACAAACTGTCAGAAACCGTCTCAAGAAGTTAATCTGCATGCTCATCATCTTCATCGGGGGTCTCGACCTGACTGCAGTTCGTCTTCGTAACCAACTTGAGTGGGCAAATGCTCACTTTGGAGAGGTGTTCTCTTCACTGATGAATCCCGGTTTTCTCTGTACAGGTTAGATGGCCGACAGTGTGTATGGCGTTGTGTGGGTGAGTGGTTTGCTGATGTCAACGTTGTGGATCGAGTGGCCCATGGTGGCAGTGGGGTTATGGTATGAGCAGGCATATGTTATGGACAACGAACACAGGTGCATTTTATTGATGGCATTTTGACTGCACAGAGATACCGTGACGAGATCCTGAGGCCCATTGTTGTACCATTCATCGACGACCATCACCTTATGTTGCAGCATGATAATGCATGGCCCCATGTTGCAAGGATCTGTACGCAATTTCTGGAAGCTGAAAATATCCCAGTTCTTGCATGGCCAGCGTACTCACCGGATATGTCACCCATTGAGCATGTTTGGGATGCTCTATATCGGCGTATACTACACAGTGTTCCAGGTCCTGCCAATATCCAGCAACTTCGCACAGCCATTGAAGAGGAGTGGACCAACATTCCACAGGCCACAATCAACAACCTGATCAACTCCATGCGAAACTCTTGGCAAAAATAACACATATTTAAACATATTTGTGAACAAGATTTGAGAGAAATAGGTCCTTTGTGTACATAGAAAAAGTCTTAGATCTTTGAGTTCAGCTCATGAAAAAAAAAAAAGTGTTGCTTTTATAATTTTGTTCAGTGTATATTGCTTTCCTTAATTTTAAAGGGAAACTATAGTGCCCCAGTCTCACCCCGCAAAAAGGTTGCCTAACAGCCCGGAAGTCCCTCTAGTGCAGTGATTGTGAACCTGTGGCACGCCGAGCCCTCTCTGTGGGCACGTGGCCAATGGTCGCCGGTGGGCGGGGGGGTGGGCGCTGGTCAGCAGCAAAGCAGAGCAGGCATCTGCCCACCCAAAATGGCAGGTGACTAATCTGCTTTCGTGTCGGGAGGACCTGGAGGCAGGGGAAGGGATCTAGGAAGCAGCGAGCAGGCTGTGTGGAGCGATGCCACGCATTCCAATAGCAACGCTCCACACAGCATTGCGCAGAAGGACAGAAGAGCTGCAGCCAGACACATACTTATCACCACCGGGGCTGGCTGTGTCCCCCTCCTTCATCAAAGGTAAGAAGAAAGGGGTGGAATAAAGATTGATTATATATATATATCTCTTTACCAGCCCCACACATACACTGCACCCCTCAATGCAGTGTGTGTGTGTGTGTACTCGGCGGTCTGTGTGCATGTATTCAGCAGTCGGTGTGTGAATGTGTTCAGCAGTCTGACTGTATTCAGCAGTCTGTGTGTATGTACTGTATTGCATTTGTTGGAGATACTAATAAAAATAAGCTTAATGTTATCTATTTATATAATTATTTAAAAATTGTATCATTGAACTCTCTGTTGTGTTCTTTTAAAACAAAAGATGTTATTTAGTTCGAAAAACTGTACAAGTTGTTTTTTCTAAACTTAAACCTCAGTATTCAGGTTTAATTGCCATGTTGGCACTTTGAGGAAAAAAAAGTTGGCATGTATTGCAGTTTGGGCACTCAGGCTCAAAAAGGTTCGCCATCACTGCTCTAGTGGCTGCCTGGTAGACAGCCATTAGAGGTGAAGTTACCACACAAAGCTAATTATAGCAATTTATAAAAAATCTGCAATAATTAGCTTTGCAGGGTTACAGGTGCTTGTACTGTGCACCCAGACCACTTCAATAAGCTTAAATGGTCTGGGTGCCTATAGTGTCCCTTTAAACTTTTAAATGAATACTAGTAAGCCCCTATTTTTCTGTCCATTATGCAGATAATGCTTTTACAAATAATTAATAGAAAATAAAATAAAAATTACAAATAAATTTGCCCAATTTGATGGATCTCTGCTGCCACTCATTTAGTAGCAACAAGGAAGTAGATGAATATTTTTCAGACAATCACTGCTCACCTATGCAAATTGTTGTTTGTGCTGCACACACAACCTGTGTGTGGTCTTTTATGGGATCATGCATTCTTGCCTTGTTAGCTATAGCTAGTTCAGAAAACAACACGGCATGTTATCTTGCTAGTGCCTGATCACGGTGTGTTTTTAACAATATTATAATATGCATATGCTTGGAAACTTGAACAATAAGTATATTAGTAATAGAATTATTTGTGCAATAAACTTCTACTTCTGTACATCATCATGAAAAGCAGGAACAGTTGATAAGAAAAAGGATGTAGCTAATTGTTTACTAGCAGAGCATTCGGCCAGGACAATTTGAATAGGAGACCCTACTATAACTAGGGATCAACAGATTATCGGCTTTGACGATATTATCGGCCGATATTCAGATTTTTTCTAAGTATCGGCCGATAATCATCGGTAATGAGGTGTGCCGGCGTGTTCATAAGGCGGCACAAGCGGCCCCCTTAGGGTGCACTGGCCCGGGGGGTGCTAGATTGGAGTGACGGTAGCATGGCCGAGCGGAGCAGTAAACACCGCGGTACAGGAACTTATGTTTCCTGTACCCGGCCGGACTAAAAGGAAGTGCTTACTGAGCGGGAGACAAGACAGAGAGAAGTTACACTTTAGGAGGAGGAGGAAAGAACACTATTGGACAGGGGAGGAAGGGGGAAGGAAAGAACACAATGGGACAGGGGAGGAAGGGGGAAGAAAAGAACACTATGGGACAGGGGAGGACGTGGGAAGAAAAGAACACTATGGGACAGGGGAAGAAAAGAACACTATGGAACAGGGGAGGAAGGGGGAAGGAAAGAACACTATGGGACAGGGGAGGAAGGGGGAAGGAAAAAAACACTATGAGACAGGGTAGGAAGGGGGAAGGAAAGAACACAATGGGACAGGGGAGGAAGGGGGAAGAAAAGAACACTATGGGACAGGGGAGGACGTGGGAAGAAAAGAACACTATGGGACAGGGGAAGAAAAGAACACTATGGAACAGGGGAGGAAGGGGGAAGGAAAGAACACTATGGGACAGGGGAGGAAGGGGGAAGGAAAAAACACTATGGGACAGGGGAGGACGGGGGAAGAAAAGAACACTATGGGACAGGGGAGGAAGGGGGAAGGAAAGAACACTATGGGACAGGGGTGTGGGAAGGAAAAACAACTATGGGACAGGCAAGGGGGATGAAAGAACTATGGGACAGGGGAGGGGGAGAGGAACAAACATTAAGGGAGGGCACTAAGGTACAGGGAAGGGAAAATTAACACTGGGGTAGGCACTAAAAGATGAGAGAGGATCATTAAGAAAAAAGGAGGGGGGAGACTTCCTACCGCACATATTTACACACAAACATACTGCATCCACTACACAAACACTGTATTTAATCTAATCAAATACTCTCACTGCATCCATTACACACACATAAATATTCTTGAAAACATAAAAAAATCTGACTGGCATGTAGATTTTGTGCAGTTACCACTTAATAAAATAAAATGATTTGCAAAAATATTTTTCTCAAAACGGTGAATGTACAGAATATTGGTAAGCTATCAGCCTGAAATTTCACAGTCTATCGGTATCGGTTTAAAAACAAAAATCAATATTGGTCGATTCCTAAATATAACACAGTAACATCTACTTAAAAAGACAAAATGGAAACACCTCCCAATACGTGGTGATATAGAAAATTTACAAATAACCTGGATTGTAGGTCGTGAATCATAAATGAAATCTGTATAAGAATTAAAAAACGAACATAGCGTAATACAGTATAAATAAGTGAGTGATATTTTAATGCAAATAGGTGCACTCACAAACAAACATGAGCTCAGGCTTCTCACCCTCCCAGGGCTAGTAGTATGATGAAACAGATCCTCCGTGGAATATATGCAAAAATAGAAGAATCAAATATAGTGAAGTATGTAATAAAATTACAACATATCTTTATTGGTCTCACTTACAAGTGAAGAAATGTATCAGGCATATCTCCATATAATATGGAACTCCCAGACGATGTAGATCCAATGGAGTAGATAAAATAAATGCACTACATGTAAATGAAAAACTGAAATAAATATAGCAGCATCTATAAATAAAAAGTCCAACGCGTTTTGTCCAGCAAAAGGGGACTTCCTCAGGGATGTAGATGTAGTGGTCCTCCTGGGTATATATAGGAAAATATCAATGGTCGGCCCAGTTGAAAAGACCTTCGGTATCCGGCATGTGGATGTAGCGTGAGCTTCAATAATGGAACGCATCTGACAGGATCTAGTTCCTGCATTCCAGCTATGACGTCATTTCCGGTGGAATGAAGCACGCATGCGATGCGCATGCGCACAATCAACATGCACGTGCGCACCGAACGCATACATGCCGTACAGAATAACCGGAACCTGTAGAGGACAAAATTAAAAAGAACAGGGCGGAAACTCCACCCGAGAGCCTCAGAAGACTAAAATAAAATTATAACAACATACAATGTACATATAATCAAATATATAGTATATAAATGACATATATTACACACAAAATACAAGCCAATTCGGTCTACAGTAACATCTACGACTGACTTGATGGATGTTGGAATTCAGACAGTTTGGAACGAAGAGATTGGGAAATAGAGCACAAGGGGAAAAAAAACAAAAAACAATTGGGAATAAATGGAATGTATATGTTTGTTTACAAGGATTTTTGTTTTACCCTATCCAGCAGCACTTAAAGCGGCACTGTCATGCTGAATCCTGTTTTTTGTTTTTTTTAACCCCCCTCCTGCCTCCACTATCTCTAACTGACCCCCTAGTCACCCCCAAATGCCCCTAAGCCCCCCACATTACCTACTTTTTATTCCTTATTTTCTGCCCCGATCTATATTCAGGGCGCCGCCATCTTTGTGTGGGTAGATGAAGTCCCTGTGGGACACGTCATCAGCCCACACTACACAGACTACACAGACTGTGAGATTCTCGCACATGCCCAGTGAAACACCTGGACATGCGAACGGGAATTTCATTTATTCATTCATTCATTCATTCAGACAGACGAATGAGTGAATAGAAATATCAGCCGAACAAACAAACACTGTGTATCAGTGTTCGTTTGTTCGCTCGGTTTATTCCAAGGAGGGAGCTACCGGCAGCTCCCTCCTTGTAATATGTAACTATAGAAGCGGCAGGGAGCTGTGCTCCCCGCCACTTCATAAGCCCCCCAGGTCCCCCCTCACTCTATTGGGGGTCAATATGACCCCCATAATAGCACAAGGGAGATTAAAATCTGCCCAATGCCCCTACTCGCTATACCACGAGTGGGGGCATGTCCACTAAACAGTGAGCAGTCTGTGGCTGCTCACGGTAAAAAAAAAAACAAAACAAAAAAAAAACTATTGGCCCCCACCCCTAAACGACGGGTGGGGGCCCTAAAGTAAATAAGGGGAGAGACCTACTGTCCACCCCCCCTCCGGCCCCCACCCCTGGGCGACGGGTGGGGGCCATAAAGATAATGAGGGGGGGGGACCTACTGTCCTCCCCTACCCTCCCCCACCCCACAGCGGCGTGTGGGGGCCAAATGATAATGAGGGGGGGGGACCTACTGTCCACCCCCCCTCCGGCCCCCACACCTGGGCGGCTGGGGGGGACCTACTGTCCTCCCCCTCCCGGCCCCCACCCCTGGGTGGCAGGTGGGCCCTAAGTCAATTCCCCCCACCCCCTCCCCCACAAGGTGACTAGGGGTCCCCAAGCCCCTAGTCACCCACCTCCCCAACCCAAATAAAAAGTGCCTACCTACCCCCCTCTCCCTAAAAAATAGTGAGGGGGGAATAAAATAACTAACCTGTAAAATAAAATTAAACTTACCATTCGACGTCTTCTTTTTTTCTCAAATCTTCATTTTTCAGCCCAAAAAAAGGCCAAATAAAAAACCATCATAACCGTCGAATTTAAAATAAAATAAAAATCCCGCCAAAAAAAAAAAGACGACGAAAAAGAAAAAACCAGGGCGCAAAAAAATAATCCATGTTCACCCATGGAGGGCTCCGCGCAGACTGAGCTCCGCAGGGCGGGGGGGGGGGCTCAGGCTGCAATTAGGCTAAGAACACTCTGATTGGTGGGTTTAAGCCAATCAGAGTGCTCTTTGTCATTTTACACAGCGTGGGAAAATTCCAAAGAACTTTCCCACGCTGTGTAAAATGACACAGAGCACTGTCATTGGATGGATTTCAATAGTTTTTTTTTTTGTTTTGTTTTTACAGTGAGCAGCCACAGACTGCTCACTGTTTACTAGACATGCCCCCTACTCGCGGTATAGCAAGTAGGGGCAGCATTTACTAATACTAAGTAATTTTTACTTAGTATTAGTAAAGTTGGCTGAAAGACCAATTTAGGACTTTCAGCCTTTTAGTAGATAACTCCCTGATACTGTGGGAATTAGGGAGTTATCTACTAAGCGGCTGCATGATGCAGCCACAGCAAGAATAGGATCGGAGTTTCATTCATTCGAATGAAATTGCGATCCGAACAAAATGCCGAATGGAGTTCTAAAACAAACGAACATACTGTTCTCATTCAGTTAGAACGCAATTCGGGAGTTTTGTGTAAAATGACAGGAAGCATCGCGGGAACACAGAGGAAAGGTAAGAATTATGGGAAAATTGCTCTGACCAGCAGGAAATGAAGCACACTTTGCTCCTCCGCTGGTCAATTTGTCCTATGATTTTAAAGAAAACTAAAGAAGAGAGGAAGAAAAGAAGAACAGATCCCGAGAGAGGGGGAAAAGAGGAAGAGATTGAGGAAAGTTAAGTTCGGCATGACAGTGCCGCTTTAAAGCAGGTCTTTGAAATTTGAGACAATTGCACATTTTGAAAAAATACCCTCAACGATGACTTGCCCGCTAATGTGTGGTAGCTTATGTGTGACGTTCAAAGTAGCTATACTTACCTGCATGTCTCCCTTTGAGACGCCACCTGCATTCTTCAGCTCCCAGCATTCCATCTGCGAGGATCACGTGTTACTTTTCGAAACTGTGGTCCACAGACTAGTTTGTGCAATGCTTGAGAATATGCTGCTCCCCACCCAGCTGTCACTAGCAACTACTGTGCTAAGTGACATAAGTTGATAGTAGAAACTCTACTTTTTGTCACTCTTGGGCTTTACCACAAGACAAAATAGTCCCTGGTTTGTTTAAACCTTTTGATTGGATTGGGAGAAGAATATTCATAAATATTTTATCTTTATAAAATACTCAAGAAGTGGCCAGAGGTGACAAAGCTGCTTTAAGCAGAAGTTCTAAAAACACAAAATACAATTCTGCAATATTTTACATAGTGTAAAAAAAAAAAAAAACAAAAAAAAAAACTTCTTACTTCACATTCCTTTCATTAGAAAAAAAGGACATAAGCCACAAATGTAATACATGGAAATTATATTTTTAGATTTTAATTATAGCATACAGTTTCTAAAATGAGCAATGATGAAGGTATGACACCCATGCTGTCAAACAGGACAGCATGCAGAATAAATATTCCCTTGAAAGAGATTGCGATTTAAAAACTACAATGGAATCGCTAAAATCTTTCATCTTTAAAGAAAAAATCCTAATGCTTTATTAACTAGTCACACCGCACTACACAATTACATTACATACAGGGAGTGCAGAATTATTAGGCAAATGAGTATTTTGACCACATCATCCTCTTTATGCATGTTGTCTTACTCCAAGCTGTATAGGCTCAAAAGCCTACTACCAATTAAGCATATTAGGTGATGTGCATCTCTGTAATGAGAAGGGGTGTGGTCTAATGACATCAACACCCTATATCAGGTGTGCATAATTATTAGGCAACTTCCTTTCCTTTGGCAAAATGGGTCAAAAGAAGGACTTGACAGGCTCAGAAAAGTCAAAAATAGTGAGATATCTTGCAGAGGGATGCAGCACTCTTAAAATTGCAAAGCTTCTGAAGCGTGATCATCGAACAATCAAGCGTTTCATTCAAAATAGTCAACAGGGTCGCAAGAAGCGTGTGGAAAAACCAAGGCGCAAAATAACTGCCCATGAACTGAGAAAAGTCAAGCGTGCAGCTGCCACGATGCCACTTGCCACCAGTTTGGCCATATTTCAGAGCTGCAACATCACTGGAGTGCCCAAAAGCACAAGGTGTGCAATACTCAGAGACATGGCCAAGGTAAGAAAGGCTGAAAGACGACCACCACTGAACAAGACACACAAGCTGAAACGTCAAGACTGGGCCAAGAAATATCTCAAGACTGATTTTTCTAAGGTTTTATGGACTGATGAAATGAGAGTGAGTCTTGATGGGCCAGATGGATGGGCCCGTGGCTGGATTGGTAAAGGGCAGAGAGCTCCAGTCCGACTCAGACGCCAGCAAGGTGGAGGTGGAGTACTGGTTTGGGCTGGTATCATCAAAGATGAGCTTGTGGGGCCTTTTCGGGTTGAGGATGGAGTCAAGCTCAACTCCCAGTCCTACTGCCAGTTCCTGGAAGACACCTTCTTCAAGCAGTGGTACAGGAAGAAGTCTGCATCCTTCAAGAAAAACATGATTTTCATGCAGGACAATGCTCCATCACACGCGTCCAAGTACTCCACAGCGTGGCTGGCAAGAAAGGGTATAAAAGAAGAAAATCTAATGACATGGCCTCCTTGTTCACCTGATCTGAACCCCATTGAGAACCTGTGGTCCATCATCAAATGTGAGATTTACAAGGAGGGAAAACAGTACACCTCTCTGAACAGTGTCTGGGAGGCTGTGGTTGCTGCTGCACGCAATGTTGATGGTGAACAGATCAAAACACTGACAGAATCCATGGATGGCAGGCTTTTGAGTGTCCTTGCAAAGAAAGGTGGCTATATTGGTCACTGATTTGTTTTTGTTTTGTTTTTGAATGTCAGAAATGTATATTTGTGAATGTTGAGATGTTATATTGGTTTCACTGGTAATAATAAATAATTGAAATGGGTATATATTTGTTTTTTGTTAAGTTGCCTAATAATTATGCACAGTAATAGTCACCTGCACACACAGATATCCCCCTAACATAGCTAAAACTAAAAACAAACTAAAAACTACTTCCAAAAATATTCAGCTTTGATATTAATGAGTTTTTTGGGTTCATTGAGAACATGGTTGTTGTTCAATAATAAAATTAATCCTCAAAAATACAACTTGCCTAATAATTCTGCACTCCCTGTATACTCTGTCTATCCTATGTCTCTTACAGTAAAACAAGTCTGCATTACACACAAAGTATAGGATATCAGGCATGTACAGTTGTAATACAAATTATTTAACCCCCCCCATTGAAAATCCATTTTTTTGTCGCAAATTTAAAGACTTTCAGCTGTTTGCAATGAACAAATCAAATAAAAGCAATTGAAATACCTGAACGAACACTACAAGTGGTTTCCCCAAATGCAGTGTATAATGACTTCTCCAGTTTCAAAATTATTCAACCCCTTCATGACAAGTATCTTTAGTACTAGGGATCGACCGATATTGATTTTTTTTTTAGAGCCGATGCCGATAATCTGTTAACTTTCAGGCCGATAGCCGATAACTTGCCGATATTCTGTACATTTACCATTTTGAAAAAATAAACTATTTCTAAAAGGTAAATGCACAAAATATAAAAGCCACATGCAATGGATGCAGTGTGTTTAGACAGTGGAGCTGTGTATATTTGTGTAGTGTATATATAAAGAATGCAGGGTGTGTTTGTGTAGTGTGTATAGTTAATGCAGTGATTGTGTAGTGTGTATATAATGAATGCAGAGTCTGTGTTTGTGTAGTGTGTGGTGTATAAAGGGAATGCAGTGTGTGTGTGTGTGGTGTGTGTAAAGCGAATGCAGTGTTTAGTGTGTATAGCGAACGCAGTGTGTTTGTATAGTGTGTGTAGTGTATATATGATGCAGTGTTTGTAGTGTGTGTATATAATGGAGTGTTTGTAGTGTGTGTGTGTATATAATGCAGTGTTTGTGTGTATATATAATGCAGTGTGTGTAGTGTGTGCATTAAACACACACACACTAAATTATATAGACACTACACTATATACACACACTCTGCGTTATATACAGAGTGTGTAGTGTGTGTATATAATGCAGTGTGTGTGTGTGTGTGTGTGTGTGTGTGTGTGTGTGTGTGTGTGTGTGTGTTTTCCTGAAGGAATGTGATTTGTGTAAAATGGGGGGGGAGGCATTTTTTTATTTTAATTTTTAATGTTTGTTTTATTTTATTTTTTAATATTTAAGTTTATTTTAATTTTTTATATTTGTTTATTTTAATTTTTAATATTTATGCTTATTTTTAATATTTATGTTTTATTATTTTTGTTGTCCCCCCTCCCTGCTTGTTACCTGGTGAGGGAGGGGGGATATGACAGTCCCTGGCGGTCCAGTGGCATTGGCTGAGCTGGGGGGGGGGGGCGCAGGAAGCTGTTACTTACCTCCTCGGCAGCTCCCAGTGTAAATCTCGTCAGTGCCTGACGGCCACGGGTCTCGCGAGACTTACACTGGGAGCTGGAGGAGCTGCAGGGGAGGTAAGTAAACGCTACCTGCGCCCCCTTCCCCCCGCCTCCCCCAGGACCGCCGGGCTTGTAATGAGCCTGGCGGTCCTAGGAGGTATTATCGGCAATATCGGTATCTATATTGGCCGATACCGACATTTCCGAAAATACCGAATATCTGCCGATATCGGCAAAACCGATAATCGGTCGATCCCTATTTAGTACCCAGTAGAGTACCCTTTTGCTGTTATGACCTGCTGCAAACAAGATGCTTAGCCACACACCAGCTTATTCCTGAGGAATCTTAGCCCATTGCTCATGAGCAATGGCCTCCAGTTCAGTAATACTCTTGGGTCTGCGTAATCAAATCCTACCAGTTATTTTCCATGGGGTTTAAGTCAGGTGACTGATGGCCACTGTAGAATTTTCCAGGACTATTTCTGCAACCAAGCCTTGGTGGAATTTAAGAAATGCTTGCGATCATTGTCTTGTGGGAAGATCCAATGACACCAAAGCTTCAGCTTCCTCACAGGTGGTATGACGCTTTCTCCTAGAATTTCCTGATACTTCAATGAATTAATTTTGCATTCCACATGCTGCAGGTTTCCAGTGCCATAGGATGTAAGGCAGCACCAGAGCACCATCAGGGGTAACTGTAGGCAGTGTTCTTTTTCAACGTATGCTTCATTCTTCTTCCACCAGACATATAGTTGATCCATTGTGCTGAAAAGTTTGTTTTGTTTTATCGCTCCACAAAACAGAATCCCAAAACTTCAGTGTCTTATTTATATGATTTTATTGCTTTCGGGTCGGTAGTGTTGTACATCTTGGAGTTCTGGCATTGAAACCTTCTGCGTTTAGTATGCACCTTACTGTGTCTTTTGCAATCACTCCAGGATTTTTCACAATATGCCTTCTCAGATATCTGGTTGCAGCCATTGATAGCTACTTTTTTTCTGCCCCGTAACCACTGTTCCTTCCACTTTGAACTTGTTAATTATACTTCCAATGGTCTCTAGGAACATTCAGTACCTTCACCATCGTTTTGTATCCTGTTCCTTGTTTGTGAAAGGCAATGATCTCTTTACTTTGTGAACAATTGACTTGGCCATATTTCTAACATGCAGTAAAACGTGACACTCAACAAACCCCTAGCTAGTTAAGGTATTTCAAGTGTTCCAGCTCAAGCATACCTGGTGCAACTAATGAAGCTATTTATTGCATCAGGTGTGCTTGAGACAACACCTGTTTTGCATATTTGTGCTGTTGTGAGGGATATTATTCAGGGGGGTTGAATAATTTTGAGACTGGAGGAGTCGTTATAAATTGCATTTTCAGTTGAATTTGGGGGAACCACTTGAAGCATTTATTGTGTTGAGCTATATCAATTGCTTTTGTTTGATATGTTCATTGCAAACAGCTGAAAGTATTTAAATTTTGACAATAAACCTGTTTTTTTAACAGGGGATGCATTGAAAGATCAATGACTCAGCCTGGACCAGTTCAGAATGAGCGAGATGCAGCCAAGACTACCATATAGCCCTAGGACCTAAATATCTGTGGCAAACAAAGGGGAGGCCATTAGCCACTACACACTACAATCAGTTCAAGTCTGACACTTCCTTTTAAAATGGGATATTACATTATTATGTTACAGTAACAATAGGTTGATGAGGACCCTACTCAAATGAGCTAACAATCTAGAGGATATGAGGTCTTTACCTCATACACAAGTTTGACACCTTAACTACACTAGCTCAGTATGGCCTGGCACTGAACTTTGATGGATGCTTAGTCCTCGAGCTCCGCCGCCCACGGTATCAGAAGGCTATATAAGCGTCATTATTGTACGGTCCAGACGCACTGTTGAGTCTCCCGCCTCGATCTGCAGCTACACGCGTACTTTAGCCATGCTCGAGTCGGGGCCGACACTGACATCATGGCGCCATCCCGACCAGGATCCTCAGTCTCTGGCAGCCGGGGACATGTTTACACAATTTCCGAGCCTGCAAGCATGTCACCTGATTGGTACTCCCTATTTGCTTCCTTGCACAAGCGAGAAGGTTTTAATAGCCTAATTAAAGAAGTCGAAACAAGCCTTTAGAATAGAGTTAGCAGATTTCCACCAGTCCCTCACTACTCTAGAGGCTCGGATGCAGGCCACAGAGTCCCAACACTCAGAAATACTTGCAGAATGTAGCACAAATCACCGCCACAATGCAGCAGCAGCCCTCAACATATTTGGCATGTGGTACCAGCTGGTACAAATTAAAAATAGACAATGCAGAAACAATATCAGGGTGAGTGGAATTGCAGAGTTGGATGGCAGGGAAGACATCAGGGACACCCTTACTGCTGTCTTCAACCATGTTTTAGGGCACCCCCCAAGATGCAATGGGCAGAGCACATAGTGATTTGTGCCCACATTCCCCCGCTTCTGCACCTTTGAGGGATAAAATCTGCCATCTGTTGGACATTGGTTTAATGGAAGATGTCACACAAAATGCCAGAGCAGCAAGGACTTGGCTGTTCCACGGACATTATGTTGAATTATACAAAGACCTCTCTAGAATCACTGTATATGACCGCAGAGCTCTTAAAGGGACACTCCAAACCCCTAAAGTGCTTTAGATAGCTGAAAAGCTATATGTGAAAAGAGTGTGTCCTCTTTTTTTCATTTTGCAAAAAGTGCAGATTTCTTTATTTTGTTTTTTTTTTTAAAAACAACAACAACCCTATTTTCTTTTATTTACAATTGAAACAAATAGGGACAATTCAGCAGGTTTCCAAACTAAAAGTTTTTTTTCTAACATGAAAGTACAAATATCTTTAAAAAAAAAAAAATGTTGAATTAAAATTTTCAACTGAATATTTGATTAAAGACAAATACCACCGTAGCACCATGAGAAGCTAGCTAAATTATGTTGGCGGCTTAGATTAGCTGTATTGATTTGTGTTCCTAACTGTTCAAGAGACACACTAGTATGTTGAAGCTAGGTTTACAAGAAGATAAAGCATGATTTCTAGACCCTAAAAGTGCAGCTTTCAGTCGAGCTTTACACTTCTTTAAATTAACCAGGTTACACCCCCTGGCATTCAAGCAGACAACAGGTCCTATTACGTCCTGGTTTGTTTAGTTCAGTTGAGCTAAACTCAATAGACAGGCACCTGCCTTGCAAAGACTACTCATTGAGATCCATTGGACAGAGACAGAAAGTCTGGGCGGGGTTAGTAGGGGAGGGCTTGCAAAAGCTGCATACAAGAAAAATGCAGGTTTTGCTAAAGATTTTTTAGATGTAAACTCAATGAAAAAAAAAAAAATGCATGTTGTCATCTGGACTATATCTACTAAAAAGTGATTTGTATTTATTTTGTATTTGGGCAGTGGAGTGTCCCTTTACGTTAGTCACAGATCTATTGTCTTCCCAAAATGCCAGCATTTCTTTTTTTACCTAATGGCTAAAAGGCAACACAATGGCATGCATTCATTTACCTATGTATGTCCCAGCTTTGCTCAACACCTTGGGGCTTCCCAAACCACCATTCAGGGATGGACATTGTACTCTCTCTCATGGATAACACCTCAACTATATCCATGGGTCCTCCATTGACCCCACATTGCAGGAGACCCTCCTCACAGACCCACTGCTACACCAGAACCAACATCCCTTTTAATAAAAGGGGGAGGAGGAGAAGGAGTTAGGAGGGAAAAGGGAAATTTTGTGGTGGAAAATCTTAAACTGCATTTTTGTTATTCCACCCAATGCAGGGAAAAGTCCCAACTTTATCAAACCACAAATGTGGAACAGCACCCACAAACTCTAACCATAACCACTACATAAAGCTGTGGTGCTTACAGTGTATCCGGTGACCCTTAACCGTCTTTCAGAACTATGGGGTATATTCAAAAATACAGTAAGTTTCTGTCCCTTAATTTGGTTTTATTACTTATTACTTATTTTTAATTTCCGAATTTTGAGTTTGTGTTTAAGTAACGCATAAGAAGTCGTAAGAACTACCGCAGAGCATGGTCTATGGCAACTCTTTGCAATGCGCAGAGCTAAATTAAAGTTCTATTCATTTATTTACTAAACTGAATTACCCATAATCCATCCGTCAAAACAATCCCCCAAAAGCGCAAACTGCAGACATCATGGAGTCGCCCAGGTATTGCGATCAAGAACCAGGAAATAATCATTAGGATACAAGATGTATAACAAAATGGGAATCAGATATAGGGATGCAATTCCCAATAGCAACATGGCACCACGCTCAAAAGAAAACAAGACAGGCCTCCCATAGCCTTAACCAGTGGGAAACGTTCTGCAAACAAACGATGCGCTGGTACCTAGTCCCTACCAAATTGGCTCATATATACCCAGGGTCAAACAAACTATGCTGGAGATGCCACAATCAAGAGGGGACCCTCTGTCATATATTTTGGACATGCACACAGATCACTACGTTATGGCAGGACATACAATCACTTCTATGCAAAAACCTAGGGATGAGGGTACCAATGAACCTAGAATGCTTTATATTACATATCTTCCCAGACACCCTCCCTGAAGATAAGAGTTACCTAGCGATCCACTGCTTAATGGCTACCAAAACTGCAATTGCCCACAGGTGGAAGACCACACAGGCACCCACATTACCAGAGATCCTGGGCAGAATAGACTCGACATATACATATGAACGCATGGCAAGTCAACTTAACGATAGACAAAGCAGACACGAGACGAGGTGGCACAGATGGGTGGAATATAGGTACGGTGAGACACAATAGGGGCTATAGGTCACACACTACATCACCAGGGTTACCTATTACGAAGGGAAATCGAGTGCAATACAAATCAACAAGACGGTATCAGATGGCATAGAACACCAACGCTGACAACCCCCACCCCCCTTCCTCCCCATCTCACCCTCTACCCAGTTAGGGCAAAAGGCACCAAAGCTAGCGCCAGGGAACATGAACAGGTATAAAACTGTATAGACTATCAATGCTACGAAGTATATAGGACAAAATGCCAAACTGTTACTATTATCTAAACCTGTGTACAAATTGATTAACGACGCATATGTATAGAATGCGGCAATGTATGTAATGCTGTCCTCCCCTTTTTCCCTTCTGTACCCCACGTTTTTCTTTCTTTGTTGATCACACGAATAATGAAAAATAAAACACATTGAAAAAAAAAGATACAAGATGTATAAGGAAAGAAAAACAAAGGGAAACACAACAAAGCAGGACAGTGCCACTTTAAGAGATTAAATATTCTGTTTACTTATGTGCTTATGTTGGAGATATCAAACAGTGCAATAAAATTCTTGTTTGTCCATAAAAACAAATACATTCTGAAGTTAACATAAGAAAGGCATCACCTGCAACAATTTCCCTGGTGTAAATGTTTACAACTCAAATCATAATGGGGAATAATTTACAATCCCATGTTGTCCAAATATATTTTGCCTCTGTTTTTGCCATTTGGATTTAATTTGCAAAAATTTGGAGCATAAAGAATAATTCTGTGTATATCAATTTTACCCAGAAACAAAATAAAAAACATCAAAGCTTGGCAATTCAGAAACCTATCAGAATCAAAAATGCATGAGCAAAAATAAATAAGGCAAAAAAATAAATAAAAATGAAACAATCAAGTTAAACAAATCTGATTGTTTGAAGTGTATCAAAATGCACCCTATTCGATATTTCATTTGGCTGGAGGAGTTGGTGGATTCGGGTCAGCAAGCATATTATCATTCCTGCCTATAAACTTCCATCATTTTACTTTCTGGGTCACTAACAGCTCACCCTCAACATGAATAAATTGTCATGAACCGAAGAGAAAATTGTAAAATGCTCCACTGACAGAGCAGTTATAAAGCAAGTAAAAAAAATAAATCAAGACATATGGGGGTGACAATTTATAGTGGACTCTGGCATGCATCACATGTCAGAAATCTGTTTAACTCTTCAAATTATTTCATTTACACATTGTGCTAGTAGATGAATAAGTAGAAGAATGCTTGTGTATAAAACATCCAGTTCCAGAGCTAGAGAAACAGGTAGAGGTACGGAATTTCCACTCAACTATACACCTGGCAACTCCTGTCACCTGTTCCAGACAGCAATTCAGGGCAGAAGTGACAGAATGCATTGCTGACTTCCTGCTGCCAGCTTCGAACTGAAAGTTGTACATTTATTATTTTTACATATCGACAGTATAAATACATTTCTCATTACTGAGCACGAAGAATGCAGATCAAAACCCGGACTCTCTGTCCAGAGTTCTTAGGAATTAAAATGTGCTTTCAATTATAAGGACATAAGTAGCAGAACCAAAACATAACTGATGAAGAATTTTTCCAAATCAATTTTTTTTTTTTTGCGAAAAACTTTAAGTTCACTTTTAAAAGCATTTCTGCAACTTTCTTGGGAGTCATCAGATATTTTGCAATGACCCCCAATGGTGACACCGCTGCTTAGTGATTGTGGTGGCGGTGTGCTGCCATCACGGTCCAGTGGTATTTATTTCGTTCCTGGCGCTTCATCTGCTAGAAGCCCACGTCAGTGTTGCACTATTGCATACTTGCAAGAGTGCAAAAATGTCTATGCAAGATCCTGCAAGATTTCCTTACATCCGTCACAAGTGACGGCTGGAAATTGACAAAATTTGATAGAGGGGGCTGCCATTTTTATCAAGAGCTGGAAAAACACATATGACAAAGCAGTCCCTACTTTGTCTTATGACGCCTTCTGAATGTGTTGGAGTTTCATGAAATTCTAACACATTCAACGTGAGTATTTAATAAAGATTTAATCTTTATGAAATAATTTTTTTTTTTTGTTAGGGGTGGGTGACGTTACAAGTCTGCTTTACTTCCCAACACACAATGTAAGTATTCCTGACAATCCACAAATAACCCTGTATTATGTCACGCAGGAGAGACACGCTAATCAAGGAGGATCTCCTTTTCTTATATTAATGTATACCAGAACAGCTGGCCACCAAATACCTGCATGTTTTCTTTATCCATTATACATCTCTGCAGTACATGTTGGTGCTTCATAAAGACCATGACATGATTATTTAACTACCACGCTTTACTGTATTAAGGATAAAAGGTAGGATCAGACGAGTGAAAATGGCAAGGAGGAAATCCTAATACACTGACAGCTAACTGTTAGCACTCTAGTTTCAAAGAGACTACATGTCCCATGATGTGCTGTCAGAAGAGTGGCCAGTCTTTTGGTTCAATCAGGCCACAATGCAACAAGGCTGGGGGCCACGCAGAGCCAGCCTGGGGGGGGGCCACGCAGAGCCAGCCTGGGGGGGGGCCACGCAGAGCCAGCCTGGGGGGCCGCAGAGCCAGCCTGGGGGCCACGCAGAGCCAGCCTGGGGGCCACGCAGAGCCAGCCTGGGCCAGGCAGAGCCAGCCTGGGCCACAGAGCCAGCCTGGGGCCACGCAGAGCCAGCCTGGGGCCACGCAGAGCCAGCCTGGGGGGCCACGCAGAGCCAGCCTGGGGGGGGGCCACGCAGAGCCAGCCTGGGGGGCCAGGCAGAGCCCCTCCAGCTGTCGGTTCAGTGCAGCTCCCATGACCCTCAGGCAGCCTGTGTGTGCCGAGTCCTGGAGCTATTCTGTTACCTGCTCGTTGATCTCCATGGTGCCCGGGCCTAGCTGGGCGAGCTGCCTGCCCTCGCTGTGTGTCCGTTACAGCAATCTCCTACTCGGGCTGACTGGGAGCCGCTCTGTCCATCTTCCTCCTCCGTTTCTCTCTGCCCTGCCTCGGCCTCTGTCCACACCCCTTCCCGGGCCGCCCTGCTACGTAACAGCCGCCGTGTCCGCGGCTCGGGGCGGAGCGCACGGTCTGTGACAGCGAGTCAGCTGCGACGGAAGCCGCGGGCGGCCACACTGAGCGCTGTCACTGCTGGGCTGGCCCCGCCTGGCATAGCAACGTAAACACCGGGAGCCCCGCCTGGCATAGCAACGTAAACACCGGGAGCCCCGCCCGGCATAGCAACGTAAACACCGGGAGCCCCGCCCGGCATAGCAACGTAAACACCGGGAGCCCCGCCTGGCATAGCAACGTAAACACCGGGAGCCCCGCCCGGCATAGCAACAAACACCGGGAGCCACGGCCGGCATAGCAACGTAAACACCTGGAGCCACGGCCGGCATAGCAACGTAAACACCGGGAGCCACGGCCGGCATAGCAACGTAAACACCGGGAGCCACGGCCGGCATAGCAACGTAAACACAGGGAGCCACGGCCGGCATAGCAACGTAAACACAGGGAGCCACGGCCGGCATAGCAACGTAAACACCGGGAGCCCCGCCCGGCATAGCAACGCAAACACCGGGAGCCACGGCCGGCATAGCAATGTAAACACCGGGAGCCTCGGCCGGCATAGCAACGTAAACACCGGGAGCCACGGCCGGCATAGCAACGCAAACACCGGGAGCCACGGCTGGCATAGCAACGTAAACACCGGGAGCCACGGCCGGCATAGCAACGTAAACACCGGGAGCCCCGCCTGGGAACGGGAGCCAGGGCTAACATAGCAACGTAAACACCGGGAGCCACGGCCGGCATAGCAATGTAAACACCGGGAGCCACGGCCGGCATAGCAACGTAAACACCGGGAGCCACGGCCGGCATAGCAATGTAAACACCGGGAGCCTCGGCTGGCATAGCAACGTAAACACCGGGAGCCACGGCTGGCATAGCAACGTAAACACCGGGAGCCCGGGTAGCATAGCAACGTAAACACCGGGAGCCACGGCCGGCATAGCAACGTAAACACCGGGAGCCTCGGCTGGCATAGCAACGTAAACACCGGGAGCCACGGCCGGCATAGCAACGTAAACACCGGGAGCCACGGCCGGCATACCAACGTAAACACCGGGAGCCACGGCTGGCATAGCAATGTAAACACCGGGAGCCACGGCCGGCATAGCAACGTAAACACCGGGAGCCACGGCTGGCATAGCAACGTAAACACCGGGAGCCACGGCTGGCATAGCAACGTAAACACCGGGAGCCTCGGCTGGCATAGCAACGTAAACACCGGGAGCCACGCCTAGCATAGCAACGTAAACACCGGGAGCCCCGCCTGGGAACGGGAGCCAGGGCTGACATAGCAACGCAAACACCGGGAGCCACGGCTGGCGGCTAGCAACGCGAAACACTGAGCCAAATTTGCTGGCATAGCAACGCATCACCGAGCCAGGGCCGTGGCATAAAGTAACGTGAAACACAGAGCCCGCTTCGGTATAGCAACGAACACCGAGCCATACCGGCCGGTATAAAGTAACGTAGAACACCGGAGAGCCACGGCCGCATAGCAACGTGAACACCGGAGCCACGGGCCGCAAGGCGAAGCAACAAACACCGGAGCCTCGCCGCATAGCAACGTGCAAACACCGGAGCCCGGGCGGCATAGAGCAACGTGAACACCGGAGCCACGGCCGCATAGCAACGAAATACCCTGGAGCCTCGGGGCTGGCATAAGTAGCAACGTAAACACCGGGAGCCTCGGCTGGCATAGCAACGTAAACACCGGGAGCCTCGGCTGGCATAGCAACGTAAACACCGGGAGCCACGCCTAGCATAGCAACGTAAACACCGGGAGCCCCGCCTGGGAACGGGAGCCAGGGCTGACATAGCAACGTAAACACCGGGAGCCACGGCTGGCATAGCAACGCAAACACCGGGAGCCACGGCTGGCATAGCAACGCAAACACCGGGAGCCACGGCTGGCATAGCAACGTAAACACCGGGAGCCACGGCCAGCATAGCAACGTAAACACCGGGAGCCACGGCTGGCATAGAAACGTAAACACACTAAGCAACGTGCCCCTCCACAGCCAGCTCAGGGGCCAGCCTGCACTCAGTCAGTGTACCCAGCTCAGGGGGCAGCCTGCACTCAGTCAGTGTACCCAGCTCAGGGGGCAGCCTGCACTTTGTATTTAATAATAAAGATCCAATCACAGCCTATTGTGCTGAGACTGACACTTATGGTTATTTACTAAAGTAAGAATTAAATGTCTGAGTTCAAAGTGAATTATACGTTCTAGACCAGGGGTTGCCAACCCAGTCCTCAAGTACCCTGTTCCAGTCCAGGATTTACGGATTACCCTGTTGTGTCTAAAGTGTTGTTTTTTTTATTTCTAAAAACACCTTAGACATCACTGGGTAATGCCTAAATCCTGGACTGTTAGGGGGTACTCGAGGACTAGGTTGGGAACCATGTACTAGGACAGGGGTAGGCAACCTTTTAGCAGCACTGTGCCAATATAGGATTGTGATGTCCTGTAGCTTGCCGATCCTATCTTTTTTTTAAATTGAGGTGTTTATGTTGCCTTATTCTACTTGTGTTATCTATACTGTAATTGCTTTGTATCATTGTATTTGTGCGTACATGAGCTATTGAATATGTTCATTAGTAGTTTATGGTAGGATACATATAAATGTGGGCTGTGTATGAGAGCTGCTTGTGGAATTGTGTGTGTGTGGATGGATATGTCACGTAGTGTGTGGGGGCTGTTTGGGGTATTGCATGTGAGAGGCTGAATGTGGGGTTGTGTGCATGTATGTGGATTGTTAGCGGGTTATGTTTGTGCGGATTGTGTGTATGTTTGTGTGTGGGCTGTTCGTATTATTTGTATGAGGGGAGGGTTATTCTGCATTTCCATGTTTATCTAGCAGTCTGGGTGGCTTCCCTGGGTTAAAGTGGGGATCAGGCTGGCCAGGTACAGGTCAAGGACAGGAGCAGTAACAGCAGCTTCAGGCTGCTCTACTACAGTGTGGATTCCCCTTCACAAGTGCTGGGAGGAAGTGATCTGAGATCACTTCCTCTATGTGCTGCAATGTATGGATTGTCCTTCACCACCTTTTCGTATTAGCAGATATCTGAAGTTTTACTGGGACTCCTGATAGGCAGGGGCGTATTAGCCGCGAGGCAAACAAGGCATTTGCCTTGGGCGGCATTTTTCAGGGGGCGGCAAAAAACGCCGCCCCCCAAATGCCCAGGGCAAATGCCTAGTTAGCCTCGCGGCTAACTGACATCCCGAGCGGGCGGCGCTGGCAGGCAGGCGGCTGGCGAGGGAGCACTTCCTATGAGCTGACTGCTCAGCTCCCTCGCGCGCCGCAGAGTGAGGCTGGGAGCCGGAAGATGACGTCATCTTCCGGCTCCCAGCCTCACTCTGCAGCCGGCGCGCGAGGGAGCTGAGCAGACAGCTCATAGGTAGTGCTCCCTCGCCAGCCGCCCGCCTGACCTGCAGCCACCGGACCACCAGGGATAGAGACCCCCCCCCCAGCACTCCCAAAGGTAAGGAGGTTGGGGGGGGATTTAAATTAAAAAAAAAGTTAATGTGTGTGTGTGTGTTTGTGTCTGACTGTGTTTGTGAGTGTGTGTGTGTTTGTGTGTGTGTCTGACTGTGTTTGTGTCTGACTGTGTGTGTTTGTGTCTGTGTATGTGTGTGACTGTGTGTGTGTGTATGTGTCTGAATGTGTGTTTGTGTCTGTGTGTGTTTGTGTCTGTGTTTGTGTGTTTGTGAGTGTGTGTGCGTGTGTCTGACTGCGTGTGTGTGTGTGTGTTTGTGTCTGACTGTGTGTGTGTGTGTTTGTGTCTGTGTGTCTGTGTGTGTTTGTGTCTGACTGTGTGTGTGTTTGTGTCTGACTGTGTATGTGTCTGACTGTGTGTGTGTGTGTGTGTGTGTCTGACTGTGTGTATGTGTTTGTGTCTGACTGTGTGTGTGTATTTAGAAGGTGGGGCGGGGGGGAGGGTTGGGTGGGGGTGGCGCGGGGGGCGCCTGAGTTTTGTCCTGCCTAGGGCAGCACAAAACCAGGATACACCACTGCTGATAGGCCAGAGCCTGTTTGGCTCTAGCAGCCTTGATAGACACTTTAAGGTGCAGTGCATGGCACTAGTGCCGTAGGTTGCCTACCCCTGTACTAGGATGTACATGTCGATAGTAACAAGTAGTACAATAAGTGTAGAATGTAACAATTAGAATATTAACAATACAATAAAAAAAAACAAAAAAAAAAAACGGGTGTATAATAATAGTTTACATCCACGAAATTACAATACAACCACAAAATGTCTTATGCAATACATGGTTTTGACAAAATGTGGCAATGGGTGGAGTTTGCACCGCAGCAACCTGACATTTTTCATCAGTAGTTGCTCACATCTATTCACTCACAGATGTTTAAGAAAAGCCTTCAACAATTAATTGCACTTGTGTGAGAAAATCTATGGAAGGTCTCAATCTTATATATACCACCAAATTTTGTACTATGTGCAGAGAATATTTTTTGTTCCCTGTACCGCTGTCCTGCTGTTGCTAGCAACGATGTTCTCTGCCAGTAGTACTCTACGGTGGATGTCTGGGCAAGGCCTCACCCAGCGGCATCTATCTGTAGTCCAGAGCCGTGAGTTCTTGGCGTGATGCGAGGAAGCATGTGGTTGAGCAAGATCTCCCAGACTTGCGCACACAATTGATCAAATTCATGGAGAAGCGCCTCCTCTGCTTCAAGTATGTCAGCAGGTCGCAGAGGTGTACAACACAGCCTGTGCCCGCAGGAACCTGGCAGTAGCGAACCCAACAGTAAACTGAGAGCTCTGTCAGCGAGTAGCCACATTTTGTGCCAGATTTGCGCTGAGTATGTACTTTATTTGTCTTAATAATTCGATTTTTGAAGGAGCTCCAGCCACATGTGACTAGCTCGGTTAGCTGTCATGCCCCGCAGACAAGTGTCTATTTTTAACACCTGCAGTGACATTCCATGTATAAGACGACCCCCAATTATAGACAAGAAAAAATGAGTAAAAAACATAGTCTTATACATGGAAAAATACAGTAATTTCTTACATATTTGAGGGGCAATATTAGGCTGAGCACCTTCGGGTTTGACAAAGTATTAGAGCAGGCTTCCCCAAACTCCGGCCCTCCAGATGTTGCTGAACTACAACTCCCATGATTCTATGAATGAAATAGGCTGAAAATCATGGGAGTTGTAGTTCAGCAACATCTTTGGGGATGCCAGTATTAGAGGATGGACTTTGGGGAAGCCAGTATTAGAGGATGGAGTCTACAAGCACATTAACCATTATAGCAGCCTGTATTGGTTATGGCGCTTAAACTGCCAGTGGCTTGTAAAGGTATTCTCATGCCTGACCAATTCGGCTGTCATGCTCAGGTTATCCAAATATTAATTAAATTAATATTACTAATGAAAAGTCCAACTTCCACATTAGAAATATGGCAAGGTCACAATTGTCTGAAGGTCCCCATGAAAATGGAAAATGGCACCCAAAACCATTTTACCACTATAATGACTAGAATGGGCTGTAGTGGTCATGGTTATGGCATCCTTTGATGAAGGCAGTGTTGGTTTATCTCTTCATGTCTCTGGAGCAGAACATTAGATGGACCAAATTAGGGAAGCTGCATTTAATAAATTATTACGGTAGCTGTCATGGATGTGGATTACAGCCAACCTACTGCAGAACCACATTAACTGAGAGTTCCACCCTGCTGTGTAATTTCAATGTTGCGTATCTGGCTATTAGCCTGTGCATTCAAATTTAAATACAGCTCCCACACACAATACTGTCTGAATACTATGCAGTGAATGGGGAGCAGTTAAATAGAAAGACAATTTCAATGCATACATAATGCGTGGAACAAGGAAGAAATGGTTAAAATAAATGGTTAAAGAAATTCGAACATTTACATTGTTACTGCTTCGGGCCTATTTTAAATATGGGCTGTAGCTGCTGCTCCAATAGCCCCTATGTTAATCTGGCTGATTTAGATGGAAGATAATTTTGCATTACTGGACCATGGAATTCAAGAAATTGTAGCTGATGCCAAGTAGATCATCTCTCTTGTTTCTATTGCTTTTTTTTTTTTTCTTGTAAAGTTTTTATAAGTTTTATGAGTCACTGTGCAAAACATCTTTTTTTCCTGTTTTACAAATAATATGATCCCTGTGACATAAAGCCTAATTTGAAGTGCTCACCCCTCACTAAGACACTGCATTAGATAAGCTCTTCTCGACCACTTTTGGTTGGATGGTTCAGAGACTATAAGATACCTGGCTTTAAATGTCAGACTTGCTTGCTAATTCCTTAAATAATATTTCCCTCCATAAATATGTTGTCTTCAGTCACCTTGTAGTTTTTTGTTGTAATCAATTTAAATTGACGCTCTAGGCACCATAACTACTCCATATCACTGAAGTGGTTATGGTGCCTGGAGTCCCCTGGCACAGTCCCACTGTTCGGTGTCAAATTGATGCCGTCATTGGAGGTATAGGTAAGGTGTCAGGTAACTCCATGTTTGTGCTATATTATTATATACTTCTGAGCAAGATGTAATCTTAGGATCTTCACGTGAGTCAAGAATTTTGCAATTTATAGGTGGGGCTGCTTTTGGAGACGTGGACAGAGCTTTAAATAACTTTTTCCTAAAGTTGCTCTACAATACAAACATGATCTGTTCAAAACAGGGCTGTATTTACAGCTCAGGAGCCGGTATTCACAGAAATCTGAGGCTCCCTTTAACCTTCTACATCCCCATAAAAAATAGATATTCAGATTAGGTAGCAATTTAACTGGCCCAGACAAGTCACAAATTACAAAAGTGTAGTAATATCTTTGTAAAAGCAAAATTAATAGTGGACTGGCCAGTCTGACTTGTCTGAAACTATTGTGTGGCTGTACGAGACTGTCTGTCTGTAATAGCGCTGCATGCTGCCCGTTCTAAGTAAACCTAGGTATCCTTCATTGACCTCCACATAGATCAGTAGTTAGTCTTAGTAACTTAACTGCTAAGCAGTAATAGCGCAATCACTTTAGCTAGTTCAATACCTCCCAAGGTTGCTCATTAGTGATGCCCAAAAGAGGTGGTCTCACCTGGCAAAGGGAGGAGACCACCCAAGGTGTGAAGGCATGTGAACTTGCCAAGCTAAATGACTGCATGTCTAGCCAGCCCCACTCTGAGCCGCACATGGGCAAGGCACTTTTAAACAGATTTGGGCATCCAATTAATGGCTTGACAACATTTTGCATTGAGCAAGAGTGCCTTTTAATGTACATCAATATGATGCTTATATATATATATATATATATAAGCATCAAATAGGAATAAAGAAAGCAATAGGAATAAAGAGAGCACTCAATGGATTTTCCAAAAAAATAGTCGTGTTGTTTTTAAATGATCAACGTTTCAACCCGGAGGTCTTTATCAAGATATACATAAGCTTGAATACAGTGTTTATATAGGGCATAAAGCATAAAGAAGGTAATCACTTACCCAGTGCAGATGTTACACCTTGATCCGTGCTCAGGCGTTATGTGAAGTGATGGGCGTGACCACACATGCATGAAGGACATGTGCGTGGTGACGTGATGTGCGTGATGTAATATCATAGTGATCGCATCTGGTAACCATGGTGGCGCGATAAAACAACAAATATACAATATGCTGTGCGTGTATGCTAAAAGTAAATATAAAACAAATAGAAGGAGGAGGATGTATATAAGATGGAGTATTTGAAAATAATAACTATGTAGACCAGGCATAGGCAACCTTCGGTACTCCAGATGTTTTGGACTACACGTCCCATGATGCTTTGTTAGCATTATGGGCGTTAAAGCATTATGGGAGATGTAGTCCAAAACATCTGGAGTGCCGAAGGTTGCCTACCCCTGATGTAGACTATGGAAGTTTGTGAGATGTAGTAAGTAGACCAAAGAAGTAGAAAACAGACGCGTGGATAGGAAAGAGGAGATAGTAAACGTAATGAGGCAGAATGTGAGGTGTGAACTAGAAGAGGAGGGAAATTATGTTAGAGAAGACATAGAGAAGAAGTAGTAGACTGAAAATAAAAAGTGTAGACCAATGTAGTAGAAAACAGATAAGTTATGTGAAGGTGCAAAGTGTGAAAAAAGTGAGAAAAAATAAATAAAACAAATTTATGGCCATCGACCATATCCCCCCTCTTTCCAACAATAGTGAGCAAAGCAAGACCTTACAAAAGTGACGTGAAAAAAGTGACACGAGAAGTAGACAATGGTCTGTAAATATACATATATACATTGTACTATATACACTTTGAAAGGTATCTTGTGGCAGAAAAAATATTAGAGATGCATCATGCATGAGAAGAAATCATAGTGATACTATGTATACAAAAATCTTATGATTGTTAAACTGAAAGACATGAAAACAGTAATACAAATTTGACCATGGTTTAACTAAAAAAAATACGAGAAAATACTGTGGAGTAAATTTTCTATCCACAAATCCCTAGAAAAGGTTAAAAAAAAAAGGGAAACGAATCATACCAGTAGGTATGAAATATAAGTCTAAGGGCATTAGTAAAAATAAATACTCAATATGCATGAAACTACCTGAGTTATCAAAAAAATAATAAGTAAATAAATATTGGTAACGTATTCAAATGTTTAATGTGTGTTTAGGAAAGAATTAAATTAAACATTCATTAAGGCCCTTCGGGTGCATTGTTTCCAGTGTTTTGATCCAATATGTTTCCTGTTGGAGCAGCAATTTAAATCTATCCCCTCCTCTGGAAAGAGGGGGGATATGGTCGATGGCCATAAATTTGAGTGTGGGAAGGCAATGTTTATTCCTATTTGCTAGAATTTTTAATTTGTCCATTCAACGCCACTGATAATGCTAATAAAAAAATTCCACTTGCAAAATTAAGGCTAAAATAGGCAAATTGTAACTATAGTTAACCTATATTTAGACAATTTGCAGTTTGGATTTTCTAACATCGCTACATTTAACAAAGATATCTACCGGGGCAGTCCGGCTGATATTTCCTTATCAGATGTTTCCTGTCTGACTTGAAATAGGAGATCTTTCAAATGTACATCTTTAGGAACACCCCCTGGCTTTGCTGTGTGAGAATACGGCAGACTTTCAAAATGTATGTAATAGGTACATTTAAATTTTTTTTTGGAAGCAATGATCATGTCAATAACATTGTATGAATAGATAAGTCATATTAAAGGACCACTATAGTGCCAGGAAAACAAACTCGTTTTCCTGGCACTATAGGGTCATTAGGTTCCCCCCACCCCAAAGGCGTACCTAGGGTCTCCAGCGCCCTTGGCGAGGAACCATATCGGCGCCCTCCCCCATATCATGAAAAAACTTAATTTTTTGGGATCAACGTTTTCCACCATGTTAAAGGGAAGCTAAAGAAATAAATCTAGCATCATATTTTGTTTCCTCATCCTCCATGTCCCATAAAAGGTGAATAAAGAGGAATTGAAAGTTCCTGAGTCCTGCCAGTCACCCAAAGCCCCTTCTCTCTATATGAAACCACTACAAGGAGAACTCCATCAGCTAGTGCACATGAAATCTTATACAATGCTTTCCCAATAATGCCAATGATAGGGTTTGCTCTAATGCTGCGTTTCCCAAACAAGTCCTCAAGACCCACCAACAGACCAGGAATGAAGCGACACAATGCTTTGTATATAGTGGGGGAATATATTAATTTGCCCGAGCACACAGATTGCACTCCCAGGACTTACCGAAGCACTGAGATTGCACTCACAGGACTTGCCCTATCACTTAGATTGCACTCATATGACTTGTCCCAGTACCCACCCCAGCACCCAGGTCTTACCCCCAACACTGAGAGCGCACTCATGGAACTTGCTACACCACCCAGGACTTACACCAGTATTTAGGTTGCACTTACAGGACTTGCCCTGGGACTTCAAACAGCCTCTTGCATGTATCATAAAAGAGGGAAAAGATAACGGCCAAGATTTCCAGTGGCGACAAAGCAATTACATTGGCAGCGAGAGTGCTCTCTCACACTCTTGGTGACGCATCTGCATCCCGCCACAGCTAAATTCTTAAAGGCCACATCACACAGCTGCCCCAGGGCACTCAGGCCTTGCACAATATTACAAGCTCGAGTCTTTAATGGTATCATTTTTTATAACTAACAAATACCTTGGTTGTGACAGTTGAACTCAGGTTGTCTTATTATAGTGGGAACTGCATGTGATGTACTGGGGTGACTGGATGAACTGCACATTGGGCTGTCTGAGTGAAATGGTTACAATTTGTGTGTGATATATTTGGCTGTCTGAGTGTAATGTGGACTGCATGTGATGTATTGGGTTGTCTGTGTGTGATAGAAATAGTTTTTGTGTAATGATATTGGGCTGTGTACATGTGATGGAAACTGTGTGTTAGCACTGGGTTGGCTCTGTGTGATGAGGATGTGTGTGATCATTTTGTGCTGTCAATGTGTGATGGTTTTGTGCTAGCTGTGTATGGTGCTACACAGCTAGTAATACAGCTAGTTATCTTAGTTAGTTATCTTAGTAATAACCTGATGAGTAGATAGAATAATGTAACTGGTGATCTGTATGAAAGTTAGTGAATCCTAGAGCAAAACAAACTAAAATAACGTGTTTCATTCTCATACAATATGTAATCTGGGGACACAAATGTAATCTATCTAAAAGCTTCACTTCAAGTTACATACTGTCCAGAGTGTCCGCTCGCTCCCTCAGTCCCTCTGCAAACTGCAGCCTCAGCCAGGTAGGTAAGGTGTCACATCTTAGGTGTAGCCGCACTATCTGCTCAGCTCGCTCCCACGTCCCTCTGCAATCTCCAGGCAGGGTAAAGTGTTGCTGCACTGTCCGCTTCACTTGCTTCTATCCCCCTTCCTTCCCTTCCATGTCTCTCCCCCCTTTCCATCTCTCTGTTCCCCTTCCATCTATATCTCGCTCCACCCTTCATCCATGTCTCTTCCCAAATTCCATCTCTCTGCTCCTCTTCCATGTCTCTCCCCTTCCATCCATGTCCTTCCCCCCATTTCATGTCCTTCCCGCGCATTTAAACTGCCCATTGGAAAGTATTACTCAATGCTTTCCTATGGACGTCCAGCGTCTTCTCACTGTGATTTTCACAGTGAGAATCGCGGAAGCGCCTCTAGCAGCTGTC